AACAGGGGAACTGTATTTGAATAAGCTGGAAACGTTGACCCTCTCATCACTGAAATCGTCGAAGCGAATCCTAATGAATTCAATATGAATATTGTATTCTAAGAAGATGGAGCACCACCACATTACTCCAGAGAAGTAAGAAACTATTTGGATACTACTTTTCCCGGTCGTTGGATTGGCCGTCGAATTCCTACAGAATGGCCAGCCCGCTCGCCAGATTTGACACCTTTGGACTTTTTTTCAAGGGGCTATTTGAAGCAAAAGGTGAACGAAACTGAACCTGAACCCCATTTCCATTTAATTTTTCCCCAGATGGCGCCCAGTCGCCATCTTAAAAGTTTCATCTGTCAATTTCACTTCAAAATAAAGTATTCATGCATTAATTTCATTATCCCAAATTTCAATTTTTCGAGATGACCCGTTCAAAAAATAATAAGGGGGAGGGAGACATTAAAGAAATGCACTGTATGGTAACCCAATGTAACATGGGTTCAATAATGATCTCTATTGTGTGTTTGCAAATATTTATGATAGCATGAAAACTGAGAAATTAAACTTCCTGTTTTTTACCACTTGTATTTGTAACTAACATTACTGCGGTTTCTTCCTCTAAGGACATTTTCAAATGACATTACTGCGGTTTCTTCCTCCAAGGACATTTTCAAATGTATACCTATATATCTTACGGAAAGAACGTACATTGTTAGAGTTAATCATTGTTATTCTCCTACTATCGCAGTTACATGTATCGCAGTTACATGTTCCACAAGGTTCGCAGTTGGGACCACTGTTGTTTAACCTTTTTATCAACGATTTAATCAGCTGTTTCCATAAAAGCAAAGCTTTGCTATTTACCGAAGATTTAAAATGTTTTAAAATAATTGAAAGTGAAGCTGATACATTGTGTTTACAAAACAATATAGATTGCCTATCTAACTGGTGTTCGCAAAATGGTATGTGTTTGAATACATACAAATGCCAAATTCTTCGCTTTCATCGAACACATCACTCAATCACTTTCGAATATAGTATAAATAATAGGACCTTACATTCTGTTATTGAAACCAAAGATCTAGGTGTGATCCTAGACTCCACACTCAGCTAAAAATCACACATTTTCGCTGTAATTCAAAAATCTATGAAGATACTTGGCTTTATAAAGAGAATCACCCGTGATTTCACCAACATCACTGCTATTAAATCTCTTTATTTTTCCCTGGTTAGATCTCATCTCGATTATTGTTCCACAGTTTGCTCCCCTCATTACGTTATACAAAAAGAGAAACTCGAGGCCGTACTGCACAATTTCCTGAGATATATTGCCTTCAAGATGCGTGTATACTATGACTATACTGCATTGGAATGCATTTTGAATATACCTTCTCTTGAGGCTCGCAGAAAATATAGATTTAATACTTCTATTTAAAATTATCAACGGACTGAATATCAGCCGAGCTTCTCTCCAAAATATCTTTACATGTCTCCAGTCGTTCAACTAGACAGGTGCAAACGTTTTACGTTTCTTTTCACAGATTCAATTATTCATACAACAACTTTATTCCCAGAACTCTTCGATTGGATCACTCTTTAAATAACCTTCAAACCTTTAATATATCAGTTTCTTAGGAAGTTTTATTTCTCAGTTTTCATAATGATCTCCTACCAAGTAGTAATGGCTATACCCATCATTTTATTTATGGAATCACCGAAATTATATTATAAATTTTTCAAATTCCCAGTTGAAGTTCTAACGTTTTCAATAGATTATATTTACTATATTTCATCATATCAACAGACTGATGAAGATCTTCCGCATGCCTACGTGCAAACATTTGTTTTGAAACCAATAGAAGGAAGTTTTTTTGTTCAACATGATATCTTCAGGCTTGTTCTCCATGATACCATTTAACCGGGAATTTGTTGCAGTATGTATTGTTCACAGTTTTTTTTATATAGCTTGCACTCTGTTTTGTGCTTCTGTTAACTCACTAATTTTGCACTCACTTTTTATTCATATTCATATTTGATTAATCGATTAGAGGATGCTACTGTTGAACACGAATCCTCATATGCCCTAATCCTTAACTATATTATATGAACTCATTTCAGTAAATAATTGTTCTGTTTAAAATCTGTTTTTCCGTTAATCAGCTGTCTGTTTTAACATATACTAATTTAATCAAAAAAACTTCGGCATGAAGTTTTATTATCTCTCAAACCAATTTAACTGCTTTCAGTAATGTTTGTGATTTAACACAAAATATCCTACCATTTTGAATCATGAGTTTATGGTAATCTCAGCAAACAGATGAAAATGTGAAACAAATACTAAAGTCGCTTAAATAAATATACATGTATGCAGTTAATATTTCAATCGTTTATCTTTTCATTGTCTGAAAAGGTTTTGACAGAATTTAAAATATATGGAAGAAAAAATAAAATCAAAATGAATGACCGTTCAAATCGTTAAAAATACTAAAAAACGAACACAAATGTTCGAATGAGCTAGTTAACACAAAAATAATTCGAAAAATGAGAAAGAAATTGAAAAAATAAACTAAAAATTCAAATAAAAGGCTGATTTGTAAAGAAAACAAATAATTGTGACCTGAAATGAAAATGTTTCTTATTAGTCAGTGGGCTATGCTCAAAAAGACAGGCAAATCTAAAGTAATGAATTTCAAATGTTCAAGCCTGTTTCGGATATACCTACACAGTAGGTTGAATGGACTGATGCCTATCCGAAAACAACTACTTCCCTGGCTATTACCACGAAGGGGACCAACAGGCGTTAATGCAGGAATCTTCACAATGAAAATGATTTAATAATTGGGTTCAACTGAAATCTATTGAAAACACTTTTCATTCACCAGAACAAAAATGCTGTCTCTCGACGCGTTTCAGGAGGTGACTAGTCATTCCCTGATGATACTAACCCAATGGAAATTGATTTTCGGTTTTTTTGAAAACTATATATTTTTATTTGAACCCCTGTATAATTAAAACCAGGGCATTCAGAGATTCAGGGCATTCATAATATTAAAAATTCAGCAATTCAGCAAAGTTTTTTGACATGAAGATCGGTATATTGAAAACACTCTCTTATTTCATTAGTTCGGACTTCCATTGTCTAAAAATGATTTGAAATCTCTGAAAGAATCTGTAAAATTAAAAAGGTTAGCTGAAAAATAACAATTATATTAAGCAAAAAAACTGAAATTACAAGTTAGAACAAAAATGCGTTTCGCTAACCAAATTAGCATCATCTGGAAATGACTAAAAATGACGTTAACTTGGTTGGCGAAACGTGCCTCGAAAGACAGCATTTTCAATAGATTCCCTTCATGTCAGAGTTTCCAAATTATGTTATCATGAAGATTGGTGCGGAGTCCTTCAAACAACGATTGCAATAGCTTCCTAATGTGAGAATGATCATTCTTGTTTCAGAAAGCTATTTTGTAGCGGAACCCATGTCGCGGTTTTTGTAAAAAGAATTATTTAACTTGATTCACTAATCATGATTTCAACAGAGACACATAGTACAGATCCTTAAATGTTTTAAACAAATTTCTTTTCCTTGTCTGAACTCAAGCATGTAGTGATTGAGAAGAAAATGTATTATATAACATGGGCTTTCACAGCCGGAGTCAAGATTAGAGAAAACAAAATATTGACTGGTATTCCGTAGTCGAATGGAACTGGTAGTACCAAACTTTTCGTCTGCTACATCTGCAGACATCTTCCTGCGAAATATCAGCAAGAACTGATTAAGAAGCTTCGTATTTTCGTATTCACTCATATTCATAGTTCAAGGATTGGTGGGGGTGCCCATGCGAAAGTAATACTGCTTTTGGGATGTGGATCGAAGTTGTATTCAAGTCTTTTTTGGCTTTTTTGAGTATTGGATACCACATTTTATACCTATACTTTTTTCTTTTCTGTAGAAATTGTTGGGATGCTTACAGATCTCAATGGTCTGTTACAGACCACGTAATGAAATATGAAGAAACCACTGTCCTATATAATAATTCAACGCATTCCATGCAGTACTTCATAGGGAGGTCATTCAGATCTATGAGCATAATGATATAATTATAAACTTCATTGTCAGAAGAATGATCTTATTGCCAAAACACATATACATATGAAAATATGCTAAAAATAGATGTTTAGCACAGTAAAGAAAATTTGCGCAGTAAAATGTGGTAATAAGAAATAGAAATAAAATCAAGAGGAAAGTTACACAAAACGCAAAAATGGTGTAAGTTATTGCAGATGCCAAATGCAACTTATAATTTAGTTAGAGGGGACCAAAGGAAATTCATCTCTATGCTTGTTTATCAAACAAGCCGTTTCTAATATAAAAATGGCATAAAATGTCAAAATATTATTTGTTATGAATATAGGCCTACAAGAGTCTTGTTTCATTTTGAAGAGATAGTATAGAACATTCTTCCAGAACGAAATTCCATATCTCAAGTGTGGGTCTAGTAGTGAATATTAAACAGATTTAGCTGCAGGAATCCCAATTCTCTAGAAACTATTCTCACCGCATAACAACCGAAAGAAAGTTTTTTAGTGAGTATTCTGATGTGTGGTCTTCAAATCTCAAGTCTTTGTCTATGATAATGGTCGGTCGGTAGCCAGGCGGTTCGACGTGGGTGCTTTGTTCACTCAGACAATCGGCCGATGTGTCTGTCGCTGGTTCAAGCCCCAGGTTTAACGATTTTCACTTGCTATCGTCCAACCCGTGTTAGGAATCACACGTTAAAAGATAAGACCTCGTTAGGCCTTAGCTCGCACCAGTTTCGACTTTTAAGGGTTGTTCGTAAGGGTGCGATAGCTGATTAACGGAAAAACATATTTTAAACATATAATACCCAGGAATTTGGTGTTTAATTTATTCTCGATAACACTTTCATTGATGGTAATTGGAAAGTTATCAACAGAACCCCGAAAAGATATCAAATTAGTTTTGTAGATATTCAAAAATGAGATATTAGCATCGCACCAGTCCTTGATAATCCTGATATCTGAAGATATAACCTAGTGGAGATCTGAGGTATTTTTAATGTGCCATAGTATTGTGGCATCATCTGCGAATAAACGTGAACTTTCCCATTATATTCAACGAAGTCAGATCATTTGTATTCAAAAGAAAGATAATGAGACCAAGAATAGACCTCTGAAGGAATCCACTGTTTATACTAACTGCAGTTGATAATGACGTAGGCATTTTAACAATTTGACTTCTACCGGTGAGGTATGATTCAAACCACTTATGAGTTATTCCAATTTTCTGAGCAGTATTTCATGATTGACACAATCGAGTGCTTTGGATAAATCACAGCTGCAGCTAAATCAGGATTGGTAATATTCTTCTAAACTTCGTTCAGAAGGGACACTATGGCGTCATTAGTACACTTTTTCGGTTGGAATCCAAATTGTTTGCAATTTATAATATTATGTAACATTAAGAAATCAGTCAAACGATTTTTTACATTTTTTTCTATTAGTTTGGCTAATGAGGGGAAAAGACAAATTGGACAAATTCTACAGAAAAGAAGAAAGTACACTTGTCAACAGAACCTGATATCCAGTACTTAAAAAGGTTGGAAATAGACTGAAAAACAACTCCGATCGTCATTCCACCAGCAGCATACATGTCAAACTGTGGCCCAATCAGAATAACCTAGCACAAATGCGAACCAGTGAGCAAAAGTGAGCATTCGCATGGACGCCCCACCACCATCTGGCCCAACCATCCTCTAATCTGGCTCGAAGCAAGACATTGTGAACTACCGAGGAGAAAATCCCAAAACTTTAATTTAGCTTAAAAATCATTATCTCGGGAATGAGCATCATGGATTCATCCAGAATGAATCAACACTAGCCAGCTTTTTAAGTTGTCAAAACTTCAATAAAGCCTTAGGGTACCCACACAAAAAAGTAGTTTATTAAGCGCCCCCATTTTCGGCATAATCTACTCTTACAATTGACCTGAGTAGTACACAATGAACGCCTGTTTTCAGCCAATCCGGGCCAGTTTAAAAACAACTTTCACACTTCTACAAATATGTCTGGTTCATCTTCAGTTCATCACTACATTAAGTAACTGGTGAAACATGGGCCTTGATCTGCATATCGAAAATTTTTGAAAACTAGCCTCGCATGACATTGTCCTCGCTCTCAACATCATTTTTCGCAAATATCTAGTTAAATAAATGTAGTCAATTTTAGAGCTCTTTTAAAGCTGTGTGCTGAATAAATGTTTTAAGAGTATAAGTAAAAGTATAAGTCACTTCTTCAACTCAACAACACCGTGAATTTCATGTAATTGTCAATATAATACTCAGTTTCCTAAAACTTTTTTTTTCAGGCCGACGACGATCCTCCACATGCGTTTTCCCAAATATTTGTTTTAAAACCACTAGGAGCCTCATTTTTTATTCAGCATGACATTTTCAGATTGGGAATTCACGATTCAGCTTGATTTATAATGTATAAGAACATTTTTTATATTTGTGAATGCAAAATTACTTTACATCTCTTCTCTAAGTTGGTAATCATTTAGTGCTTATATTCTATTCAACCCATTACAATAATTATTAAAACTTATTTTCCAAATGTAGAATTTTATTTCAAACCATATAACGTGAATGGAACAAAGGTATTTGAAAAAAATGTAAGTCGAAGTTACAATTTTTTCTTTTGTTATCTACGGCATCGAGTACTAGTGCAATTATCCCCGTGTTTTGGATAGACTTCTCGAACCACCTAGGGAGCATCATGACTATTCGCAATCCTGTCAGCTATGCAACGTAGCAGTATCAATCTAATTTCACTAGGTGAATCGCGAAAGGAATATTTGGTCAAAGCGGGATTCCAACTCACAATCTTTGGACCCGAGTCGTGCACAATACCACTGATGAGTAAAAGTTATTATTTGTGAAAAAATGTCACATACAATAACTCTGGTATAAAGTAGAGTTTCAAAACTATCTTAATGGGCCATCGAAGGTTGTGGAACTTGTTTCAAAGAATTCAATCGGATAATTTCCTCAAATGGTAATTGATTCTCACATTAGATATACAACAGCTTGGAAATTATATTAGTTTATACAGAGATTTATTAGTCTTAGTTTAGATTTAGAATACCTACGACAAATGACGTGTTTAGCACGTCAGACTAGAATCCTGAGTTCACTAATTGAATTTCATAATTAACTATGAACTATCAAAATAACCTGACCATAGGGGAGTTTTTTCCTTTTGTAGTGTTCAAACAATTAATGCAAGGAGTGGAAAAAATCCAAGTTTTTAAATTAAAAATTATTTTCTGGATACTTTGTTCATTCATGTGCTGAAATAATACCCCTTCATTACACTTCATAATAAATGTAGAAGTTTCATGATGTTAATACTATAACATATGGGATTAAAACATGAACACTGAGAAATCGGCGATGCATTTTTTGATATTCATCAGTTAATGAAAGAAATGGATTATTTTAGTTTGCTTATTTCAGCGTGGAACAGCTGTAGTTTCTAACTGGCTGCTGACTTAATTGAACCCCAGCCGAGATCGTCGCATCATCAAAACCTACAGGCCGTTTCTTTTATCATGTGGTAACCGTAACAGATACGAAGACGATTGAATGGGAAAAAAGGTAACTGTAATCAAGAACAATACAATGGTCGAAGAAAATTTACGGGGACTCTCGCCCATCTCGAGTTTTACGGGGAAAACAAAAACGCTGTTTTTCGTTTTTTTTTTTCGAATGGAATTGTTATTTCGGAGAATATCAAAAAAGGAAAATGTTTTTGTATTCAAAGTCTATTTTCTTCAAATCCATCTTATGTTAATGCTGAAATGAAAGAAGTTGAACTTTTCAAGTAAGTTCCTATAATGAAGAATACCTTCGTTTGCGGATCCTCTGTTTCATTCAACTCCATTTTGTTAACCATTTCAAAAGATTAAAATGGGCATGAGTGACTTGAGGTCGAAGCCACTCCCGTTGATAAGTTTTCATAAAATTCATGTTTCCCCAACTAGTCTATATGTAACCGAATTTTCTGTGTCATTTTCAATAAAGCACATTGATATTAAATGTGGCTTATTCGGTGGGAGGGGAGGGGGGTAATTTCCAGAAGGAATAATTTATATATGAAAATACGCATATAACAATAGTCATGTGAATATTGAATGGTCAAACCAGAATTGCAACACTCTACCCGACGCGCGTTTCACTAACAAAGTTGGCCTCTTCAGGGGGTTGAAGTTCTCTTATTCCTCACTCTTAAACTGGTCTCTATTAAAATCTAATGGAGTACACCTTCGGACGCACATCAATGATTTTGGGTAGAAAAAGAAAAAAAAATTATCAAATGATTGAAAGGGAATTGTTCCTTGATATCTCTCTCTCTACCTACCAAACGCAACTTTTAGTATTCAAGGTGATAGCATCATGTACCTAGGTTACTTTATAACTTACTCAGAAGATGACACAGTGTGTCGAAACAGCTGTTAGCATTAATTGTTAGTGTTCCCGACGCGCGTTTCACTAACAAAGTTGGCCTCTTCAGGGGGTTGAAGTTCTCTTATTCCTCACTCTCAAACTGGTCTCTATTAAAATCTAATGGAGTACACCCTCGGACGCACATCAATGATTTTGGGTAGAAAAAGAAAGAAAAATTATTAAATGATTGAAAGGGAATTGTTCCTTGATATCTCTCTCTACCTACCAAACGCAACTTTTAGTATTCAAGGAGATAGCATCATGTACCTAGGTTACTTTATAACTTACTCAGAAGATGACACAGTGTGTCGAAACAGCTGTTAGCATTAATTGTTAGTGTAAATTTTGAAGTATCATTTTCACCCTACCAATTCAATTAAAATGAATTCACACATATCAGAAGCCGAAACTGTAGAACAGAAATATTTCTATCTAAAACCAAAGGCAATGAGGTTGTGATATTCGGCAAGTCAGATTACTGTGAGATATTTGATAATTTTGTTGAGAACGGTCCCTGTAATCAATTACCTAACATCTCATTGCCTGAGATGGTTTCAGAAGTGAAAAACACTCAAGTGTCAAAATTTATTCGCATCGACTTTGAACAGGAGTCTACTCAAAAAAACAGTTTGATACTGTATCTATCTCACAATTGGGTTCATTTATAAATCTACATCAATTCATAGATACAATTAAAATTGCGAGATGGAGAGATTTCAGTATCATTTGATGTATCCTCATTGTTTCTAAGTGTCCCTATACCAAAAACTATGAATATTTGAGGATTTTTCCGTGTGTAAATGGTCTCAGTGGAGAAATAATTGAAGAAGTAGATCAACTATGAGATTTCTGTGGCACAGCCAATTCAACTAACAGAAGCAATGAAGTACATAGAGCTCTGAACGGCCGAATTTCTTGAGTTATTTGCAGAAAACACAAAAAGGGACCTTTGGAGACACCCCTACCTCTCCATACTTTATGACACCTCCTCTTAGATATCTACCGATTTTGGCTTCGTACTGGTTATACATGTGACTTATTCTTTTTGATCTTCATTGAATAAGTTGTAAGTAGAACACTTTCCCTATTTACTTTTTATAGTTTCCCAAAAATAAATGTTAACGTTTAATTTTTTAATTTTGATTCTTTTTTTCAAAACAACTATGGTTCTAATCGTTGAAGGTAAGAATGTCCCTTTGAAAAATTTTCATATTTAGAAAAATTGAAAATGTATGACTATTATTCTATGGTAACAGATAAGAGTGTACTGAATGAGGTATCAAAACCCCATTTACTCGCACTAACCTGACACCCTCTACACAACTGCATAACATAATCAAGAACCCATCTAAGTCTCTCAACGGCATGCTCCAACAACCAACGAACTAAAATTCACCAACCTCACGCCCTCTACATAACCCTGATCGACTAACCCATGTAAATCTCCCAACCTCTTTTAAACGATTTCCATACAACTTCCACCATACTATTGATCACACTAAACTTCAAAAAATTATTGGTAGTTTGTGAATTTATTGTTTTGATTGATTGAATTCAGAATTTCAAAGTATTTTGTTCTGGAACCAGAATGAGAATTAAACCTTTATGCATGGAAGTCGTTTCACAAGAAATAGTAATATCTTCTAACATATTAATTTTTTCAATTAGATTCTTTTTAATGGTCCCACATTTTATTATGCAACTTTTTCAACACTTCCTTAGTAGTTTGAAAATACTCTACTCTCGAACCTTTAGGGTATACAAGCCTGCCTCAAAACGACAGGAATTTTAAAAAAAAGTTCGGAAGATTCTCGTTTTTGGCTAATCATGTCTACTAGGGGCCCAGTGAAAAAAAATTGAGGCAACATAACAGGAAAAGTATTGTGTTGTGTTGGTTGCTGTTGTGTGTTATTTGTTGTGTGTATGTTTTGAGTCACGTGCTATTTGTAGTGCGTGAGTTTTTTAATTTTACTTATCCAATACCCACTGACATACAAGTTGAAATTCGTGATAAAACTCCTGAAAGTATGAGAGGTTGGACTCGGAATGACTTATAGAAAAATTTTGAAATAGTAGAAAACTTACAATGAAAAAGTTCCAACTACAGAACTTTAGCTTCACTGTTTACAATTTTAGTTCAGTGCCGAAGTTAGGACACTACGTGACCATTTCGGCATGGACGCATCGCCGAGAAATTTCGATCGAGAACTTTTCACCCTGATGAAAGTTGTGTGTTTACTCTATAGAGATTCAAAACATTACGTTTGTTTGAAATATATTTGACAGGCGAAGAATGATTATGGTGGAAGGTGGAACTGGAACCTCTAGCATAAAATCAAACACAAATACTTCTCCACGTACCAGAACTATAACGCTCACCTTGAGGCATATTTCACTAACTATATTGGTATTATCTGACATTCTAATGAACAGTGATGCCAAACTGATTGGCGTTGAGAAAAGCGTCATAGTATTTGCGTTTTAATGATAATGCTAACAACCCTGCCAATGATGCTTCAACTATTACAAATGAGTAAAATTTCTCAAAAGGGCTAGTATAATAATTTCAATATACAATGGATTCTTTAATGAGCTAACCAAAACTTCAAACACCGTACGTGTTTGAAGTAAATACAAAGATCATTCTAGTAACTTTTCTCGACTTGAAATATTAAATTGTCACTAAATAAGCAAATCCGTTGCTAGGTAGATGTCTTCTTGGATTTTTTTGCAGTCATAGTAATACCTCTCAGAGATCTCATTGCCATTGCTTTATTGAAGTGCCTTTGTGGTTTAACATCATCTGAATAATCCCCAGTGTCAAAAGAAGAAAGTATCACTAATAGAACACCTAGTACCTAGAAAATTGAAATATCAGCAAACGATTATTTCAGTACTTGGTTACTAACCAAACAGGCTATAATGACCACTGTATAAATATGCACAGTAGCAGCGGGCATAGTCTCCATCTCTTTGAGAGCCAACTGAGCTGGCTCAAAGCCTGGATTGAGTTCTAGTGTGTGCCTTAAATGTATAGTGGCTTCTTGATAATGCCCATAAGCTTTAAATATTTCTCCCAAAGTGAAATACTGCTGCCAAGCACCTTCAGGATTATGCAAAAAAAATAGTGCAGGATTACCTGATGATCTACACTTTGGTCAGATGAATTGTTTCTCTTCGCTTGAGCATTATGCAAGTGATGATTGTACTTTGAAAAGTCTTGTGATCGTGAAACTTGAGGTCAAAATCAAAATAAATAATATTGTAATTACAATTGTGACACTAAAATGGTAGATTATTTTCCAAGAATTAGAGAGAACAAAATCGGGGTGGGTTGGGCGTGGTAGAAAGAAACTTGTAGTACCAATCATTTCGTCTACTACTGCAAGAGCAAAGGTTTTTTTGTCTACTACTTGGGAGCTACCTGACTTGTCCATTTCTCCCAAGTCTCTGGAAAACACTGCAGCCTCATGGGCTTACTGCATTTTCTCTTTTTTTTTTCATGACACCAATTCCAACAATATTGTGCCTTGTACTAGTTTGCACAGATCATTTGCTGGATATGAGTCATATTCTTCTGGACATAATTTGGGGTTTCCATAAATTGTTTGCATCCTGTGATCCAGTGCCTCACACTAGCATAAAATATGATGAGTTGTCTCTCCCTGTTCATTGTTAAGGTCTCCATTGTATAGCCCTATTTTGTTTAGGAGTCCTCTCAATGTACAGTGTCCAGTGAGTGGCCCTGTGATTGTTCTGAGCCGATCACTGCTTTGTTCAAGCAGTTCTTCAGTTATTTTCACGGACGATCCCTTTATAAAGGTTATCCCGTGTGTGTTCCTGGGTATATTTCCCAGAACACTCTCTATGTTTCTTATAGACCCATTTTCTGATTTGATGCTTGAGTGTCCTGGCATCCAGTATATAGTCAGTTCCTCACAGCAGTCCTAGACCAACCTGGATATCACTTTTGGGTTCTTCAGTGCCCCTAGTACTACAGCCTTTCTGACATTCATTTTGTTGAGGAATCAAATCATTGCTTCTTGTGCATTGCTAGACTGCATACAGTTCAACCTGGAAGACTGATGTGTATGTACTGTCCGAGAGGGTAACTGAAATGAAGATGTCTTCCCGCACAGTGAATTCCTGTTCCATGTTCGGTTTTCAACCCGTCTGTGTGTCCATTATAGTCCATAATGATTGAGTGTACCAATCTTCCTCTAAGCATTCAATTTATCCACCTACAGCTTGTGTCATCGATCCATCTTCTCTTCGACACCTGGCTGATTGATTCTAGGGATGTTTTATCAAATGCGCCCCCTATATTGAAGAAAGGAGCTATGAGCTTGATCTTGTAAGCATATTCTGCTTTCTTCATGACCTGACATAAAGCCGTTTACGTGGACATACCTTATCACTATGCATATTAGTCTCGATGCAAAGTTCAGGTAGCCAGTGATATGTCCCAAATATGTCTGCCAAGTAGTTTTACCAATGTATTTAATAATGCTAACATTATAATGCTTGTATTTAATTAGAGACCTTTTGTATTGATCGCAGATACCTGATTTCTTTGCCCTCTCTAGTTAATTGTCCCATTGAGCCAAATCTTCATTCTACCAGGAAACATTCCTGTTTGATCTCTGGTTGACGGAAGACCAATGTTCATTGCTTGTACAGATAACAGCTCCCGTAAATGGTCTGCTGCTAACTCTCTAAGTCTGTAGAATCTTTTATTTTAAAACCCATGCAGTCTAAACAAGTTTTCAGGTCTGCTTTTCAGTTTTTTCGGAGGTTTTGATGAGATATGAACGAGATACGACTCTCCAATTTCAAAGTTTCTATGTTGATAATCTGAACAACTTTCCACTTCTCAACATGGTTACTTATAAAAGTAGTACCTAGTGTCACGTGTATCACTTCCTTATCCCTCGTGTTACCGAACATAGATTTATTGCCTAAGTTCAAATGTCTTAATTTGTTGGAATGATAAACTGTAGTAAATGCTCACCTCTTATATTGATTTCAGTGCTCCCCCAGGTCGAGTGGTCATCACAGCCAATCTATCTACTTGGCAGGTTTGTCCACGTTTTTGGTTGATGGTGGTTCCTTACTATTTTAAGAAAGGAACGCTCATCCAAGAACAATAAGTCTAACAGTCATCAATTCCTTGGTACGAAAGTTACTCAATGGCAATATATTTATTTTTTTTCGGATAATTATGCATGTTCCTGGGGTCTCTTAGGTTTTGTTTTGAATTAACTTTCTTGGATCTCTCCCAATTCCATGATCTTTCCTTTGTAGACCCAGGGTTCTTGTATGAAAGTGATATCAAACTTTTCCATAACCTTTGTAAAGAATACTTACTGTATTGTAGGTTGGCTTGAACTACTCTCAATGCGAGTCAGAGGAATTGCTCAAAAAGTCCTTACGTTTTTGGTTGTGACCCATTGAGTTCCCACAAGTGTGGGGGAAAGGGTTAATCACATCCATGAAGCTAAGCTACCGCTGGCATGGTTCTCGGGATCATAATAGTACACAAGTCCCACCACTACGACAAAGTAAAAGCACAGTCGTTGGGGCAAAGTAGTACCTTGAACAACGACTGAATGGGGAGCTCCATGTTCACTTGTACTTATACCAGAAAGGATGGAGTGTCCATGAGAATGGTTACTCCTGATTTATCTGTTTTGAGTAATGCCACATCAACTCCTTTCATTCTCACATTCAACTACCATGGAAAAGAAAATCTAAGGAAAGATACTGGTCAACAGAAAGACTATCAGAAAACTAGGTCATAGAATTTATCGCAAACCTAGTTATCAATATCTCAACAAAAACTCAAACGATCATCCAGAGCAAAACCTACTATAAAGAGAACCTTTGTTGACTATGCCGCCAGGATGAATACTCCACTTCAGGCAACGATCCAGCCGCCAGTGGTATGTACAGTCTACTTGCCTGACATACATAACATTGAAAACCTGTTTAAACATGACAGCATCAAGACCTTTTACAACTATACCACATTATCAGATCGGCCATGGACACAGAAGAGAGTCTATCATCCGCCGGCATGTATAGGACTCTCACCAGAATACAAGAGAACGAACAATTGCAGAACATGTCCTAGCAAAAACAGACCACGTAAATAAAATATAATGAAACTGCTGTTCTGTCTGATACAAAGCATTACCACACACAATTTCATAGAGATCTATCAGCATCTCAATAATTTCAAGAAGAAATTTATTTATTTAGTAGGACATGTCCTAATAGAAAAATGAAAAAATAGCTATACAAACATGTTTCTAGACTAATAGTTATATAATGAAAAGAAAGACAAATACTAAAAAATAAAATAATGCACTTGAATACATAAATGATATTAGATTGCTTGATGTCTTATGGTAGCTTATTGAACTCATCAAGTCTTTTATAGAATAGCGACTTCATTGAGTTTTCCATTTTCTAATTAGGGAGATGAAACATATTATTTCCTCTAGTAGTAAGTATAGTTATGTATTTGGGAGTTAATCGTAGTAAATTCACTTTCCAACAGAAAAGAAGGTATTCAAATCATCAAGAGGGTAGCCAAAAATGGACTAAAATACAACTCCGATCAACACCTTACCAGCAGCACACCTATCAACAATATGGACCAATCAGAAACACCTAGCACAAGTGTGGACCAGTCAGGAGTGAACATTCTCATGGACACCATATCCCCACCAATCCCTACTAGTATGAATATGAGTGAATACAGAGCTCCCCTGTCAGTCGTTTCTGAGAGCCCATCTGAGAGTCGGTCGTTTCTGAGAGATACAACTTTGTCCTCACAGAAAACACATACATTACTGAAAATGTGCTGCAGTAGTATTGGAAACATTTGGTAAAAGTTCTTTTAGACCACAATCTACCAGCACTGTGAAATGAAAGCTTCTCTATTAAATCAAAATTGGATGCAAAGATTCAGTAACTGAAAAAAGTTGTTTTGCTTAACTGCATCTTGCTAATTACAAATGATTCTTCTCACCCTTTTCTGGAGATTGCACTTCAAGAGATCGTCTTGTTAAGTAAATGGCATCGTCCAAGTATTGCAAAGAGAATAGCACCCTAGCAAGATTAAGAAGTACTTCAGCATTATGTGGTGAAGCTGCAAGAGCTCTACGAAAACATTCAATTGCTTTTTCTGCATCACCTTTTATCCGCCAAAAATTCCCTATTTGATTATATAACTGAATTGATTTTGGTTTCTGTAAATGATTGGGTACATTGAATGTGTATGTATTCAATGACTTCGATTCTTACTTCTTTTTTGGCCTTCTTTAACCTTTTCTCCAATGAATCAATATCAAACTCTTCCACTTCAATCTTATTCTTCCCATAACCTTTTGTGAAATACAAAATTGCTTGTGGTTCAGGAACAATCGGATGTCTCTTTCGATTCAATACTCCTACCAAGTTGTCAAAATAAGTAAAATTAACGGGTTTTCCGCAGTCCAAAGTTTCTTCATTCAATTGAGTCTTAAAATTTTCCACTGCATAGTTTGGATGGTTACTCATATTTCTGAAAAATTATGAAGCATACAAATGAATTGACATTTTGAGCCGGTTTCATTCTTGGGCAGTACTCACTGTTTTTCATTTTCACAATTGGAACAGTAGTATTGCACAGCTTGTTTCACCCAAGACTGGCCAAAATGTTCTGTAGAAGTGATAATGTCAAAAAGCGCATCATTTTCAACAGTATTTTGCTTTGGCATATCACTTGAATAGGAAATCATAGGGTTAAGAGGACTTGCCTCTATTATCTTAGTTTTGTCAGCATTCAGTTTCCACAATGTTGATGTTTTTGAATTAATGAAGATCACCTCAAAACACAGTATATAAAAAAATATAGTTAAATTCTGACAATGTCGATACATGACGAATTTTAATTTCGTGAATGGTATATCATTTTCTATTTGGGATTTCAAATTTGAATGAAGATTCTGAAATTTCAACTGTCTTCTGTTACAAGTAGTAGATCATATTTCAATTTGTTTCCTGAAAATTTACTTTGAAATTACAGAGAGCAAAACAAAAATGTGTCAAGCGTTCACGATTGGTAAAAGGTGTGTTCGTTTAATACATATTTGAGCGCTCGTTAAGCTCACTTCGCTCGGCGTGCGTTCGATTATACAAATCTTTTGTCTCAGATACATCTGATATTTGTGTTAAAAAATGTGATCGGTTAGCTCTGAAATCAATTTTCAGGTGTGTCAAAAATAGTCGGGTTGAGTTTTAAGTATATTTTGGAAATTATTAATATCTGGTGTGAAATTTTTGACTCTTTTTTGTCATCACATAGTATCTCCAAAGGAGAATTTCTATTTACATGATGATGCCATAATTAATGCCTTCCTCAACGCTAGTAATTCTTGCAAAAATTCTTGTAAAAAAGGTCTCCATTAAAAAAAATTGTAAATCACACTTCTGTTGTATAAAATCTTCACCGATCATAGGTGTTTTCTGGTGCTCATGTATTCAAAACGTATTAGTCTATGATTCAAATACATTCTTTCTGGCGTTGAAACGATGACGTCATATCAACTATGATTTGAAACGGATTCATGCCGTACGCTCCATTAGGCGCTCAAATGGATTACGCTCACGACCGCAGTTTTTCCAGTTCCACTTGCTTGCGGGGGTTACTGTCGTAAACTCAAGTGCAATGGATTATGAAACGTTTTGGGCGTTCATGTAAACATACAAATGGAAAGGTTGAAAAAATGAAGTAGAAGTTTTAATGAGGTTACGTAAACCTTAATAATAATAATAAGTTTCAATAATTGCAAGCTACCTTTATTTATATCGAAAAGAAATATAAATTATTAAACAAATTGAGTTTGAATGTAATCAAATTGTTTTATACGGCAATTGAAGATTTGTAGATGCGTCGCAATAGTGAGAAATTAGAAGCCACAATAAACTCATACGGGTTACGGTGGAGGGTTGAATAGGCCCACTCACTTTGGATCTAACCTAACCTTACATTTATATCATATTTCAAAAATTCAAATATTCTCAACGTCCACTTCGACCCACCTTTTCAGATGGGTCGTTGCCGTGAGCGCAAGTAATGACGTCATGAGTAACGTTTTCGAGGCGACCACAACGACCGCGGTTATTATGTGAAACGGTTATAGTAGCATTTTGATCGTTGTGAGCGATTAGTGGAACGCTCGGATGATGATTTGAAACCAGCGTGAGGTTGATTTTGAAACGGAATTTGACGTAACGTTACGTCAATTATCAGTTTCTGCTTTATTTTGATCGTTACAGTTTATAAAGTGCTGAAAACTTTTAATCAAATACGTTGTAAGGATGTTCAAAATGAAGCTGGGGAATTATTGTATTCACAAATCCGATTCTAATTGAGATTAGAAAAACATTGAGAAGTTTGTTTTTATTAATAAGTTTGACATCTGACACAAATTGCATCATTTTATTCTGGCTTCACTGAAATTATATGCGAAAAATTAAATTATACTTCGTTTTTTATATAGAAAATGTTAGCTTGCAATCATTGTAGCTTATTGTTGAAGCTTACCTAACCTCCCTAATCCATTCCACTTTACAACAGTTACGCTCGCAAGCAAAGTGCCAAGGGAAAAATTGCGGTCATTTACGCGATCATTGTGAACGCTTGGGGGAACGCACACTAAGAGCCGAGCAAATGTAAATATATTTTGTTGCGTTGACACTAGGTGCACCGTACATAACGATTATGGATCTTTCTCATCAAGACTCTACTAGACAGTGCTTTTGGGATCTGTAATACAAAGGAAGGTATCGAAAAGGAACTAGGCATCAACAAAAAAGACCTACAACGGAATGGTTACTCCAGAGTGACGGTAGAACAGGCCTTAGCTAGAAGACAGCAAGAACTCCACAAGGAAGAGAAGCTGCCACAACCAGTACTTGTACTTCCCTAAACCAGAGGATTATCGGAAAGGATAAGAAGGATTGGGTCCAAGTACGACATCAGGACCTGCTTCAGATCTGGGAACACTATCCGTAGCAGCCTTACAAAAACCAGGCCACCAAACGCGGACTGCGATTCCAAGAATTGCATTTACCGGGTACCCTGCGAGTGCGGAGAACCATACATCGGTGAAACTAAGAGACCATTGAAAGTTCGCATTGCTGAGCACAAAAAACACACACAGCGAGGAGAAACCAATAAATCCGGAAAAGCAGAGCATGTTTGGACTCATCAACATAACATCAAGTGGGCTCAAGCTGAAATCATCCACAAAGAGGAACATTGGTTTAGGAGAAAATTCAAAAAAGCCGCATATATTTTGTCCAACAACGCATTTAGTCGAGCTAGTGTAGAGATACGTAACATATGGAAACCTCTAATCAAGGGGAAAACGACCAATTCAAAACAAACGGTCATCTCCCGCTAAAAACCAATGAAGCGGAAAAGTGAAGAGGGGATAGGTGAAAGCACTCGAGCGACCTATAAATAGTCATATCTGGGAGGAATAAGTCCAGTTATCACTCGAAGACGATTGTGGATACTAACAATCGAAACGTTGTGACATAACTTGGTTTGAAATCTTTTAATTTTTATTTTTCATTTTTTGTTAATAATAATTTTTAATTTTTATTTTTCAGCTTTTTAGACAATGGAAGTCCGAACTGATGAAATAAAACTGCCGACGTTCTTGGGCCAATCGAATTGACTTAGTATAAAAAAAACTAATCAATACAGTTTATTGTATGATTTTCACTATAAAAGGGTTTCACAAAAACCGTGACACGTGTTTTGCTATAAAATAGCTTCCTCAAGCATAACTGACTTAGTATATACTATAAATGATACACAGAACGTTATTTACTATGAGTCATTTATCCCCAATTTATTGGCAGATTGGCAGGTTCAATTTTTGACAGATAGAGCCTCACATTTAATGAAACTTCAAGGGCAAACTTCCAAAAATTATTATTATGACAACCATTAATCTGGCCAAGTGTGGGTCTGGGTCTTTTATTTTCATTGCATACTCTTTATTATTCAGTTTCTCACCGTGGGCTTCTAGAAATATCTGAAAGCCAAAATTAGCCAAATTTGGTCCAGTTGCTCTTGAGTTTCAGTAAGACATGAGTCATTTCGTTTTTATATTTATACAGGGTGTCCCTGGACTTCCTCTTTTCTATTTGAAAAGTTATCAAAGAAAAACATTTTTCATTTTGTAACTTCGAGGGCCCGTAACTTGGTTACGAAGACTTTTAGGAGAAAAGGTTATATGAAGTACTGGTGATATTTTGACCCCATCTATACATTCCCGAGAGGAAAAGAGGAAGTACAGGGACACCCTGTATTCCTACCTAAGAGAAATTTCCCTGTTCCTTGTCTCGTGTTATTCCTAAAATAAAAACCTTTTGAAGTATGATATTCTTTCAATGTATCGTTAAAGTAATCGACAGAAATCGATTATTGCAATTATTTCCTGTCACTAAATTCTATACACTGTACAAAAACACCGATGTACGAATAACATCCATCATTCACCATCGCTGTCAAAAAAAACATCGACATCGAACGCAAAACATCGATGTTTTGAAAACATCAACTGTCGATGGTCTTCCCTAACAAATGTATTTGATTGAACGTTGAATGAATGAGTATATAGGTATTTTCATAATACCTACTTGATATTTCATGATAATTTATTCGACATCAAGTGTTGCCAATATTTTAACATAAAAAGTCCCCCCTTTTTTTAAGCGAAATTTGGTATATTTAGCCATAGGATGTGGAAATGTGTGATTAGGATTAGGCCCACTGAAAAAGATAACCTAGCTCAGCTATCAGCTGATTTTGACATATAGAAAAATTAAAAATGTGGGCTGTGGTAAAATGTTGGAAAAGGCTAATTGAAATAAAATTGTCTCAATGATAGTAGACTCACACTCGTATATTGAAGATACTTGCAGATGATAACCATGGAAAATAATCAAATGATGACTTTTCAAAGTGGTGAAATCTGCACCACTATGTTCCAGAAGTTATTTGAGCAGAAGAAAGCTAGTAGATTTTGTGATGTTAATCTGTTTGTCAACAACAAGATAATAAAAGCTCATCGTAATGTTCTAGCTTGCAGTTCACCCTACTTTGATTCAATACTCAAACATCACAGAGTTGTAAGGGAACAGTTGACAATATCATGTTTAGATAGCGAAATATTCAATATGATTTTGAAGTTCATGTACACAGGAGAGATTACAATACAATATTCCAATGTAGAAGAACTTCTGAAATTAGCTGATCATTTCATTTTAACCAAAGTAATTGAATACTGCATAGAATTCCTAGGAACCAAATTGAATCTAGATAATTGTTTATTTACATATTTTTTGTCACAGCGTTTCAAGTTAAAACATTTAGGAAATATAGTAGAGAATTGGATTTCTAGTCACATAGATGAAATTTGTAAAGGGAAAGAATTTTTAGGGCTAAATTCAATTGAACTGATGGAATTTTTCAGAAATAAGGTGAGTTTGAATGAATTTGATGTATTTTATTATACATTCTTCTCCTCACTTGATTTTCAGAATTTCATCCTAACAACTAGCAAAGCCCTTAATCTACTTTCCCAGTGGATACTAGTGGATTTGGAACGAAGAGAGAAAAAGTTTGATATGCTCATTAAATGCTTTCCTACTAATAATTTGGAACCCATCGAAGTATTCAAACACTTAGATACTTGTACTCTATACAACAAAAGTGAACTGTGTTTGTATAAATTTTTAGACTACTTGTTGAGAAATAATTGGATGTTGTCTAATTTTAAAACCCGCTATGATGTCTTACAGGCGAGATATGGTCAGGTACGTATCAAAATTCAACTTGATTCCAAAATCTAGATTAATATTTTTTTCTTGAAAATCCACTTCTGCTGCTATCTAATCTGTATAATATATTTGTTGACAGTCATGCATCAAAATTAATATCTGAAGTTTTATTCTGTATAACAACCAATTCATTCTCTTAAAATATGCAATATGTTATAGCATAAGATATGTTTACAATTCAACAATATTTTTTAACATGTTATTTGAATTGACAAAAAAGGGCTTCTGCATTCATAATGATTCACTGATCTCAGCATTTATGATCAAAACTTGGTATTAGTTCCATGATCTTTATTGGCTTGAGACGGAATTCAAACATCATGCTTGTAGTAGTAAACATCATAGTAAAAATTGTCCCGAGATAAATAAGTATGTCCTGCTTCTAATTTTGTAGTTGAATTACATTACGAAATAAGGTTTGAAGAGAAGTCTGTCTACAGATTGAATAATGACATATTCAGCTGTTTTGAGATCTACTTTCAGATTACTGTTAATTTTTGTGCTAAACCGGAAATCAGGAAGGAACTAGAGAAAGGACAGGGTGCCTAATAGACCTATAACAGCATTGAAGTATCAGAAAAACCAGTTATTAGTTGAAAATGATTTTGTATAGTAACAATCAAAACATTGTGAAGTGACTTGGTTTCAAAACTTTTTATTATTTACTGTGTTTTTTTTTTAATTCTCGTTGCCAAGTAAATATTTGGATTTCTTGTAGTTTAATACACTTTTTGGTATAATCAGCTAAGTCATAGTTCATGTGAAGTAAGTCCCAATCAATATGAGTAATTCAGAATAATGTAATGTGAATGAGCCAAGTATTTTGGCATATTCGGATTGAGATAAATTATTTTTTCCTTGATGCATATATTTTCATTGTGTGATTACCTCACTTTCCCTAATCAAAAAAAGTTGTATTATGGGTACCTACAATAAAAATGATGTCGGTAACTCATATTTTTCGTTTAGTTTTTTGAAACTTAAATGTACAAAGTATCATATGTGAGGTGGTGTAAATCATCTTTTAAGGTAAAGTGCTTAGGTCACTGTTCTCAACTAGGATTTTAATTAGAAGGGAATATCAACAGTAAAAAACTGTTTCAGGTAAAGTTATGTAAGCTATCTAAAACTTAATCATTCGTTAATTAAAGAGTTGATTAAGTAAGCTCCCCTATAATGTGGAATGATGCTATCTTATGTAATTAACTCTCAAATTCAAACTATGTCGGTATGAAAAAACTTTTTGCAAAAACCTGATTATTTCAAAACTATGATTTTTGACGTACACTAGTTTGACTTAAACCGGTGCAGTTCAACAAATATCTTCTAAAAGTACTCCAAATAATACTCTTAAGCCAGGTATTTGCTAGACCCTTGGTTATATTTATTTGTTGTAAAGTAGTATAGGATTCATTTGAGCATACGAGACACATGCGGTCAGCCTGCGGCTTGAACCATCGACTCACACATCGGCCGATTGATTGAGTGAACAAAGCACCCACGTCAAACCGCCCGGATAACCACCGACCTTTCACTTGTATGAAAACGGAATTGTGACTTTTTTTTTTTCGAAAATAGAAATTATCCTAATCTGACGGCAGCTACTTATTTTCTATCTATAACCCTTCTTGAACAGAGGTATGGGTCATGCAATTTGATTGATATTTGAAAGAGTGTTCAGTTTCAGTTATTCTGGTTAACTCTATACTGAATGCCTGGACTCTCAGCAATCTTAGGTAACAATATAGGTAATCAGTCCCTTATTATACGAGGCATGAACCTGCTGTGAGGGTACCAAAATCTGTAGTAAGGAATCAGAGTACTGTGAAGGAATAGAGTACTGTGAAGGACAAAAAACAGTTATCAATGGAATGAGACAGAACTATTGAAGTCTCAGGCACTTAATGCTGTGACAAAGTATGGAATGAATGTTTTCATTGTGGAAAATCTGTAACAAGACCACTAGTGCCAGAAATGGGACAAATACCAGAGCGGGAATTCTTGAATCACTCGTCGTTCACAACATATGTGCAGGCGACGTCACAGCAAATGATTCCTGAGAGTTTGGTAGTCTCGAAACGTTCGCACATCTGTGATTTGATTGTTACCAGCAGAATGAGTGGGCTAAGGATAACATTTGGATCTCTGTTTAAATTATTGTTTCCACGAACGATTGGCACAACTACATATATGCAGAACTGCTAGTTATTCAAGAAAAGGATCTCAGAAAGCCAACACCAGAGCTTGTTAAACCTCAGTTATAGCTGGAATGGATTGTTGCGGACCTGTCACAGTTACCAGTCACTAGACAAGTTGAAAAAAGGTATATTGGGCTTTTTATCTGCGAGAGCATGAAAACTGTAATCCTGAAGATTGCAAGCACCTTGGACGCTGATTCTGAAATTATAATCATTCGTAGTTTACCGAAGAATTAAATTGGAAGTTCAGTTCACCAGCGAGGTAGCCGGATGAGATTAGTCAAATCAGTGAAGGGAATAAGCCATTGACCTNCAGCAAGGTAGCCGGATGAGATTAGTCAAATCAGTGAAGGGAATAAGCCATTGACCTGGGGAAGCAGCGGTGAGTTTCACAGGGGCTGTATAAAATGTTTCATAGGGAATAGATAAAGGAATACTGGCACACTTCAAATTTGACTAGTTGAAGACATTCAAAGTCAATGAGAGAGAGAGAGAGAGAGAGAATATGCTTTATTGTTCGAAAAAACACAATCTTGTTGACAAAGTAAAGGCCTAAAACAATCTCAAATTAAGGTAAAGTAAAATACACACACACACAGAAAGAAGAAATAGGACAATACGTCAACACCCACATTGTACTAAAATGTCTCATACCTAAAACAATATATAAAATCTAGCACATGAGAAACATCTTACAACATACTACAACAAGCTTGAGTTAAAATGTGTCATTATACAATTCTTGAAAACTATAATAGGGTTTATCCAACAGGAGAGCTTTTACTCCCTTTCTGAAATGTTCTACGGAACTTATTTCTTTAATGTGTTTTGGTAAGTGATTGAACGTCTCACCGTCTCCATAAATTACTGAATCTTTAATTAGTTTCAGTGATGGGATCGGGAGTTTAATGTTTGCAATGATTTTGTTATTAAAATTGATGACACTGAAACAAAAAACACTTGGCCGTCAAGCTCCATACCACCATGTATGTATGTATGTGTATCACTTCAACGAAAGTCATTATTTTGTGGAGGAAAATAAGTTTTTTATCGACCTTTTTTGGGTAATTGTTACCTTCCACAATCTGAAAAATATAAAAATTATAATGAAGAACTTTATACAAGTGTAAAAGGGCAAACTTTTTAGTTTACCCCGATAAGTTACTGCTTAAAAATTTTTTGTAAGTTCAATTTTTTAGGTTTAGTTTTAATACTGATCTTTATCATAAGTATTTATGTACACCTTTGTAATAACATGTTTGTATATTGGGTGCTGCCCGTTAGATAAATAAATAAAATAAAAGGTAAAACTGGAAAAGGAGTCCAAATGCAAGCACTTTTCCCAATAACCAGAAATGCAATACTTTTTTTGACGCGCGATGAAGAAAACCATTTTCTTTCTCCGTGTTAAAATGGATGTTGAATGTGTAAAATAGGATGTTGAAATGTTTCATTGAATATTATTATTATTGAACTTTTGTTTGAAAATTGTTTTTTTTTATTCATTTGATATGAAAAATTAGTTGGGAGAAATGTTAAATATATTTAGTTTTTGATGTTTATGGTAGACTTGAAAGTTCTTTTTCATTTTGTATGTATTTGGAGAAGATACCGATTCCATGAATATATGTTCAATCTTAAGGACTCTAAAATGTAGAATGGCAAAGATTAGACATCATATAAATCCAAGGTTATTGAAATTATAAAAGGCTCCAAGCATTGGCTTGGTCTCATGAAAGGCTGGAATGGCTGTACTACCATTATCATTTAATATAGAGCAAAAAATGTTTCAGATATCATCTGATAAGGGTACTGATATGGATGCAAAGCATGATAAAATAATGATTCAAGAAAAAAGTGAATTTGATTCAATCCAAAATAATTTCAATTCAGTAACAGTAAAAGCCAAACTGAAAAACAGAAAACAATTGATCCTCAAAAAGCTAATGTTATTTGGATTAAAACCAAGTTTAAGAATGGCCGCTTTGAAGATGCTTGCTTGCAAGAAACAAAACATATCGCTGTCTGACAACGAGAAAGAAGAGAATGAAGGTAATTGATGGTGATTATATCACGTTTTCTATTTTATAAAATTTGATACAAAAAAAGAGGTGTGGGAATCTTCAAAAAAAAAGCCAAAAACTTTCTTCCCCACAACTTAATCTCTCCTAAAAATATAACCCTTTCAATTGAAAATAAAATTCTCTTGGGATTAAATCAAATAGGTGAATGAATGTCATTACGATGTCATCGATGACATAAGCAGATCAAGCTTAATCCGTGACATTAAAAATCTTAATTCATGAATGAATTGTGTGTATTTTCTATAATGTTATCCAATTTGGTACTGAAGAGCCTTAAGGCAAGTGTCTTATTATCCCAAAGTTCTTTAGTATTCACATATTGAGCCTTCCTAACCCCTAAATTATATATGAGAGGCCTATAAGAACATATTCTTCTATGATATCCGTGTAACACCAATTTCTTTCCTTGCTATAATTATATATTCTTTTTCATACAATTTGTTCAACAATCTCCTGTTATATGTAATCTTCAACAAGTTTCCACAGTATTTTTATTTTTTGCAATATTTTTGACCCCAGGAAAGGTGATAATATTCTTTTTTAGCCTTTCTACATTGGTCGCGGAGAATAAGCCATCCAGTAAGATTTTTCATCTTTACCAGTAAAGTGATATATAGAGCTATATGCAAGATTTTCGTCAATTTCTTGGAGATTTCGAATTGGGGTGAAAGTCACCAGGTTCAAGTCAATGCCACAAAAACCCAGGCATCGGTTTTCTCCAAGATGGTAAATGTCTGCGAACCGGATATAATAATGTCAGGTCAGACAATTCCGCTTTCTGCTTCGATAAGTTTGTTGGGGATTATAATGGAAACCAATATATCTTGGCACAATCATGTCGCTGGAATTGCAAAAACTGCTTCTCCAAAGCTTGGAACACTGTTCCGAACCAGAATACTGTACACACCTCAGCAACTTTTGATGCTTCATAAAACTCAGATCAGACCTTCTTTGGAGTATTCTTCTCATGTATGGAGCTTCGCCCCCTAAGAATGCCCTGAAGCTGTTGGATTCTATCCAGTAAAGAGCCATTTGTTTGATTGGAGACACGAACATCACTTGCAACCTTTACAGTCTGGAACACCAAAGAAAGATTGGAGATTTGTACCCCTTCAATAGATACTTTCACAGGAACGTTCAAGTGACTTGGCACATTTGAAATACACGACGGATTGTGGCTGCTCATCGTTTTGAGGTTCAACTCAGTACACCTCGAGCTTCACTGTTTAAAAACTCTTTCATTTGGAGAACTGCGTTTTTGTGAAATAAACTTCCTGAGAACGTTTTTCCAAATGAATTTAATCTCCAGCGATTCAAATCCAACGTGAATTTCTACTTTCGTACAGGTACCGCTCTTAAAGCGACCTAAGAATTTTCCTGTAGTGCTTGTGTTTTGCCCTTGAAAAAATATCAACATCTAGATCAGTTCCGAATCAGTATTGTGTATTGTGACTTTGGCTCTGACTCTCTTCATATTGCCATATCCCAAATTCTGCAAGCATCCGTCCTCTACTCATTGGTTACAATGTAAAACAATATATTCATTATTGTAGAACACTTTGTATATTTGAAACAAACTCACCTATAAAAAACAAGTTTATTCGATCTAAAAAAATAATATACTACGTTAGAACTCGCGCGATGAAAGGCACCCTCACGGAGCTCCTCAAATGTGTAAGAAATCCTCGATATTTAATATCAAGTCACGAAGAGCTGTAAAAAGTCAGCTAGAAGTGAGAGTAGCAGTATGAGTGATTTTACATAGAATGTGCATAATATGAGCCGAAGTGAGATGCTTTTTTCACAATAATACTAGTATTTTTCGTTCGTTATTGTTTTAAGCTTATTTAAAAAAATATTTTCAACTTTTTAGTTCGATGTTCTTTAAAAGAGCGTTTTTTTAGTTTTCTAAACTATATTATTTCAGATTTTCAATCTGACATTTCTTCTCCGAGTAACCATTACCACATTAAAAAATCTTATGAGCTAGAAAAAAGTATCAGACAGTATAAGTTAGCATTTTTAGCAATAACTTAGTTTTAAAACGTTATTTAAATAAGCTCTAAAATGGGTATCTTTCTCATAATTAAACCAACTTTGTGTCTCTTATCTAGATTTTCTTGCCGGCCCTCCTTATCTTGAACACATTGCATAGTGGTAATATATTTTGATTATAATGATATTTCAAAATTTTAATATCTATTGAAATTGTTTTGTTTCAGTTGAAGATCCTGATGAAAAAGTTGGTATTAAATGTCCTATATGCTTCACTACGATAAATGACAGTTTACTTCTTGAACAGCACCTTGCATTAAGTCATGCAAAAGATGTTACATATAAGTGTGGACTATGTTCTTTCGTTTGTCAGTATCACGGAGATTACCTAAATCATATGAAGACCCACTTCTCTGGACCCCCTTTCAAGTGTGACTATTGTGAGTATTATTAAAACTGTGTTCGTAAACAAATTAATTTCAATAATTATAACAATTTTTGGATGAAATGGGTCTAAGTCTTTTGCAATAATATCTTTATTATTTGACTTTTACTTTTAGCGAAAACTTTCATTTTGATACTCTGACTCGTTACTTGGTGAAAATTGAATACATTATTAACGATAATAATTACAAATCTTCACAATATAGACTTTATTTCCAATAAGCATTTCACTACAACCGTAATAGTGTAACTATGAATAATAAACATTTTTCGCGGATGATTTGAAAATATTTTATTTTTTCCAGTATTTCTCTAGAGGATCTTCCAAGTTATGAGTAGATCATGAATAGAAGTTTCTTTGGGGTACAAGCTGTTCCATTCTCTTAAACTCATTTATTTTGTTTCACACTGTATGTATTTATATTGACACGGGTACCTTCGAGTATCGTTCACGAAACGAGGGACTCAATGCCTCTCTGTCAGTGTCTAAAAATCTGCCTGCGCAACTATATAGCTCAACTCACTAGGGTATGTCGTGAAAGTACCATGCAGTGATATTTCTAATTTATAAAGTATCAGTAACCTTATTATATACAGTCTGCTAATATTGAAAATCACCACCTATTTTTGGTCCAATCGAACCGGGATTTATATTTTTAGCAATAGCATTGTTGTTTTTTTTTTTCAAGTCATAATTAAAACATTCGTACTTCTCTCGATTTAAATTCGTATTTATCTTTAGGTACGAACGCTCAACTCAGTTTCTGGCAATATTTCATGCACGTTTGGTTTTTTTTACCAGTGAATGTTCTGTTCAGGCAAAAAGTCGCTTTATGTCTCGATTCTCGCTGGTAGATGATTCAATAGATACTCATAGAATATTATATAATATAGTATATACTCTCTCATTTTATAATATCTCTCACTCACACATACTAAAATAATATTGTGTCTGCTTCATTATCTCTCATATAAGTTTGAATTATTCTCTTTGAAAATAAATAACTTTTTTTCATACTCATTATATGCCATCTCTATTGTTTAATAACTTTTATATAATTAAATAAATTAAAACACTTTTCTCATTATCATCGCTCATGTATAAAGTACTTACTTACTTACTTACTATATATAAAAAGACTCTGATACCTCGTCATTGAACACAACATTGAGTTGTTTTTTTTTTCATTCTCGTTGTTCGAACTCGAACAGTTGACTTCGTTTTTTCTTTTTCTTCATTTTTTTTTGGTTCTTCGTAAATATATTGTAAATTTGTTATTTTCTTGGTCTTTGTTGATCTGAAATGGCGTATGCAAAGAAAATAAAACAATATATTTGCCCTATATTAGTAAATTAAAAAGTTTGAAACTGGTCCGTTCACGTGAATTTTCAGTGTAGATATAAACACATTGATACGATAGATGATGCTTTTCAGGAAATTCGCAGTAATTCAACTGCTTTATTAACCTCGACAGACAGCGATGATCTTCCCTCCCAACATGATATTCACAGTTTGTTTATAGACGAATTTTATGAAATCCAAACAATCTACACAAGAGAAACTACGAGTACTTGATTATTTATTGTCGGCCAGAAAATCTGAATGTTACTGTTGGTCATATATAACTCTCAACTAGTTATTTGGCTATTTTATTTATTACCTGAAAGTTTGTTGGGAATAGATATTACTGTCATTACTTCATTTCAGGTGACTTCAACATAGAACAGATATCAAAATTGATATCTCACCGTGCTCAACACTTAGATGAATCTATTTACAATTAATTCGAANAACCCGAAGCTCAGTTGAAAATGAGCGACTTATATATAAATATTTTATTTATTTCACTAGTACAAAAAATGTCTTTGTTTTGGAGAATAAATATTCAAGCAAAATCTAGAATCTCATCAATTGACTCATGCTGCTGAAAAAAGTTTATCTTGCGATTTGTGTGGGTTTCATACAAAGTTTTTGAGTCATATGATTGCTCATAAAAGAATTCACGCAGGTAAGTGGTGTGGTGGTACCTTCGTATGCTGGAAGGCCAGACTCTATTCACTATTCTTTTAAAATTGACAGATAAAACTTGTACTCTAATCAACAAGTTGATAAACGTGAAGAATAAAGATAAAACTCCTAAAAATATGAGCAATAATCACTCATTCCATTTGGAATATGTAGAAATATTTTCGAAGGATTTCATAGAAGATAAAAAATTACGATTGTATTGTTTTAAACAAAATAATTGAGAAAAAAATGAGACAATAAAAAATTCCCCGGAAATGTATATATAATCTATATGAAGTCAATCCGAACAGCTTAATAAAAGACTGATGTACGGGGTCTGATAAATTTACTAGTTAATACCACATAAAACCTTCCTCATAGAAATGATGATTAGACCTCGTAATTATACCACATCGCCCATGCCATACAAAGAAACTACCGACGTTCGGCAACTATTCAGTTTTTATGTTATTCGAATTGACTTCGTATATACCAAGCCTCCATTATTTATCATTTTAATTTAACGCAGGAAATAGGGCTTCGCGCGCCTGTTTTACCACAGAATCATCGCCGCTGAGATAGTGTTTCACTTGAGGAATGAGATCTCGTTGTTTTTTTAATTTTTCATGAAGGTATGCTTTTGTTAATTAATAAATTATTATCGTTTCTCTGCTCTTACAAATAGTTAAATGAAAGTTCAAATAAGGAACTTGAAAAGATTTCACCTCGTGGAGCCCTTTTTATATGTATACTTGAGAAAATCATGTGGTAAAGGTTTATAAAAGTTTTTTTTTGTTTATTATAATTTTTTCAAGTGAAAAACTTAATAGGTATCAAAGAAACGAGGGTAAAACATTTTTGTTTTATTATCAAATGACAGTAATTGATCTCGGTTGCAATATTTCAACTCATTTGTTAACAAATTGCTTATAAACACATAGAAAAAAATATTAATTGTGTTTCTCAACACAGTTTAAAAAAATTGCATCCATAATTTAATTGTTAATCATTTAAGAGTTCTCACAATTTTTTTCTAAAAGTGAAGTGAATGTAATTCTAAAAACTATATGTAACAAAATACCAAAAATGGGAGTATGAGATAGCATTAAATGCTCAAAAAGCACACCGATCATTTTAACAAAGGATAAATCAGTTGATTTTCGGGCTTGATAAAACTTCATGAAATCTGAAATCGACCGACCTTACGCGATCCTCACTCTACTATGTAGGTATAGTGATGTTTGTTACGTGTTCGGAAGTAGACTGACCTTGCACGAACTGCTTCCTACTACATAGGTATTGTTGTAAAAATCAACAACATAGGTATTGTTGTAAAAATCAACAACAATACCTATGGTGTAGGAAGCAGATCGTTGTTGTTGATTTTTACTAGAATAAAAACAGCAAAAATCAGGTAAAAATCAACAACCATACTTATGTAGTAGGAGGCAGATCGTTGTTGTTGATGTTTACCTGATTTTTGCAACAATACCTATGTAGTAGATCATGCAATGTCAGTCTGCTTCCGAACACGTAACAAACATCACTATACCTATATAGTAGGGAGCGGATCGAGTAAGGTCGGCCGACTTCCTGAATACTTCACAAAAATCACTAGTAGATGACAAATGAGACTTTGTTGAAATGTTGTGAGATCAATCCCAGTGAGGATAATAACACAGAAAACGTACCAAAACCCGAAAATCAGTTGAAAATGAGCGACTTATATATAAATATTTTATTTATTTCACTAGTACAAAAAATTTCTTTGTTTTGGAAAATAAATCCTCATTACAATACAGGTCCGTATTTGAAAAATAAAGTTGATGATGAAATCTAATGAACGAAACGTCGCATTAGTTAGTTTATATCAAATTATAACAAATATGAAAACTAAATGGCAAAAAAATTAACTATTAAATTTCCCTATTTATTTATGGACAATTTGTTAACGAATGGCAAAAAAATTATCCTAGTTTTTTATATGAATTAAACTTTCACCTAAATATACCAGGCGAAATTTTTCCAGGTCGTTATTTAAACTTTTATTCAATTATTTGTAAGGGCAGAGATCTGATAATAATTTGTTGATTAATAAAAACATAACTTCATGAGGAGGATAACAATTTTGTGTCCAACATCCATTGTGAAATCTTTTGATAACACTTTTCTAGAGCTCATTCCGAATCGAACATGGAAGTAGAAAACTTCCATGGAATCGAATTAGATTTTGCTCATATTTTTAAGAGCTTTATCTTTATTTTTCATGTTTTCAACTTGTTGATTAAACTATTGACCTCTGTTGGAATATTATTTCAATAGGTTTATTGCCTCGTTTCAGTTATTTAATAAAGTTTGACGTTTATGATTGATTTCATTGAAGTATATTTGTACCATAAAATATTAGGCGATAATTAAAACTAGATTTCAGTTTATGGAAATTCCAAACTATTATTCTTATCAATGGCATCATGCCAATGAAGCCATTAACAAATTTGGAAGAGAATGCATTTTTAACCAATGATAATTGCCGTATTTGTAAAAAACTCTTCGAATTGGGTGATGTCAGAGTGAGAGATCATTGTCACCTGACGGGAAGGAAAGGATATGGAGGCTGCACGTTCTCGATATAATTTGAATTAGAAGTTAACAGGTTTCATTTAAAAAAAAATCCATAATTGCAGCGGCTTTGATAGCCATTTGTTCATTATTAAAGAGGTATTAACTAATAGAAACAAGGTGGATGTCATCGGCCAAACAAAGGAAAATTACATTTCTTCCACTATACTTCTATTGATGTGTTCCACAAAAGATAAATTTGGTAATTTTGAAAAAACAATTCCTGAAGCTGATATTTATCCATAACTTTATATTTTCATGACATCATCACTGCAGCAGTTAGGGTAGAGTATGTCAGATGAGCAATGTTATGAAACGCCAAGAAGTTTTCGGAAAATGAAAAATGTCTTTTCATGAGACAGTTTTCTCAAGGATTTGACCAAGTTAAATTGTACTGAGCTACCATCAAAATCAGAAACATATCTGACGATGATTATGAGAGGCAAAACGTGTATTATGGTCCTTATTCAATTGCGAAAGAGGAGGCTATTCAGATTTGAAATGGGATGTATTAATTTCATGTGATATATTCAAAAATTTCCATGATATTTGTCTGAATAAAGCCAAAGTTTATAAAGCCAATTCTACAACGTTCTGCTAACTCGTTCCGCAATTGCAATCTTCTTGGTGCTAAATGTTGAGTAATAATTGATATAGTGCTCACTCATTAGCGATGAGAATTTAGAATTATAGAACTCGATGCCATGATTATATTGAAGGTTTTCGGAGCACATTTGGCATCTTTGAGCATACTCCGCAATTTTATTTTTCAACGGCCTTGACCATACGTACTTCGAATAACAGTTGATCACTATGAGTATGTAACTGTGACCTTTATTTTCTTCAGCGTGTATTTGCATTTCCATCAAATCAATCTGCCGCAAATCCGAAAAACCCCTATTATTGTTTTTCATCGGGTAAATTTCGACGCACCGCCTTTTGTAGCTCAATCATAACCTGCATTTTTGCGGCACTCATATCATTAATTTATGACAAGAGTCGATTCTAACCAAGGGGGATATGGCTAATTGTCCAGCCCCCCAGTATTTAGGTGGAGCTTTAGCGGTTGACTGTTCAACTTTAACAATTCGCTCATCTAAAGTACCAACTCGCTCAACTGCAGGCATATAATTGAACATCATAATAAAAGTTGAATCAACTGTTTCGGAATTGGACCAGATAAATCCTCATTTTGTTGGTCCATTCTGAAGTATAATCAGATGCTGTTTCTCGCACATGACATCATCAAAAATAAATATTGAATCATATTTGGCGTTCGATAATTCCACTTTTTCTGACGCGTTATCAGCGAAAGAGTAGAACCCCAATTATTTGCTGGGAGCTAGTACTTTACGTAAGTACTCATATTTGGGCTGATAAAGAGAGTGAATAAAGTTAAACAGAGAAATCATGACATTAGTCTTTCCACAGTTTGAAGGTCCGACAATGAACGGATAATGGGAGTAAAGTATCATGACGTTGTTTAACACCGCTTTCTTATTAAAATTATCGATGGTGAAATGCTGTTTCTGCTCAACAATGTATGGCAGTTGGAGACTATATAAGGGGGCCTCTTGTTGAATCCTTTATTTAAATGGGGATCAGCCGATGCAGGTGTGCTCAATTACGGTCAAATAAAACGGGTTATGGAAAAGTCAAGATTGAACAGTGGTGATCCAGCCGTCAATTAGTTGCATTTCGCATGTTAAGAGCACGACTTTTCATCTCGCAGAATCTAGACAATCTTACGGCCAGCCTCAGGGCGGACCAGCAGCTTTGAATCGATAGCTTTGTTAATATCAGTCACTAGAATAAAAGTACTGATGTCTAATTCACTTACTTATGAATACACTGGCCCGTTACTTGATGGCAATTAATAACAGTATCCATGATAATAACGGTAAATAAATAAATAAATATCGTCTGCTAAGAAATACTATTTCAATCTTGCTGAGAATATTAATTGATGGATGTAAAAATATCGTCTGCTAAGAAATACTATTTCTATACTATATACTATACTATACTATTGCTGAGAATATAAATTGATGGATGTAGCCGTTACTACGTGGTAGGAGATCATCATGAAAATTGAGAAATAAGACTTCCTATGTTTTTATATCACTTGTATTTGTAACTAACGTTACTGCAGTTTCGTCCTATAAGGACATTTTCAAACAAAAAAACTATTAGTTTGAAGTTTATTCCTCAATTTTCTTGCTGAGAATATTTCAAGTCAGTATGTATCCGTTTGATTTCCACTCTGCCACTGTAAATTCTATTGAATAATATTCGTCGCTAATTATTTGTAGTGTTTTTAGAATAAATACACAATTGTATTGCTAATGTTCTGTATTCATTCAACGTATTTCTTGATATTTTATTCTAGTTCACACAATCTGTTATACATATTAACATATAGAATTACATTCAACAACAAAAATGAATTAATGTTATTCCATTTTAGCGGATATATATCGATGTTCATATCCCCATTGCAAATATACAACTTCTAAGAAAACTCAACTTGCTAGCCATGCTAAAACCCATAACGGTGTTCGTCCTCATACTTGTGGTATTTGTGGAAGGGGTTTTATGGAGAAATCTCATCTTGTTCGTCATGAACGTATACACTTGGAAGAAAAACCATTCAAATGTTCAAATTGTGATTATGCCAGCTCGAGAAGGGACAAGTTGAAGGAGCATTATACTAGGCATCATGGAGAAAACGCTTCAGCTAAAGTGCCATACAAAGCCAGACCGTTACGAAATAATAATAACAACACATCTTCCAGACCAAAATCACAGGTAAAAAGAGTGAGATAGTTTTAGTTTTTTATTGTCAAACTGATAAGGACACGAATAAATCGTTAATCGGTTAGAAATTCAAAGATAGGACTATATAACTAAATTCAAAATAATATTTCAAATGTTATAATTCTATTTATATTGTTCACAGTCCTCTCAAGAAACATCTCCTGGAACAACAGCTAATGCAAGCAGTGTAAATTTTACTCAAACGAACAGTACTACCGTGGCTCCTTCATCACAGTCAATGGGTTCAGAAATACAGGAGTTGATTATGCATCATCAAAGTCATTCTACTTCTGCTGGTGAGTTTAATTATTTGCAATATCTGAAAATTTGAAAGATTTTTGAAAGTTCAGTTTCTGAAACAAAACATTGATTCAAATTTAATTTGGATCAAAAATTCAATTTGAAAACCGTTTAGTGAAATTTATTTGCTGTAGCAAAGAAGATTCCTATATCACCAATTATACCCTACAATATCTGTATTTTAAGATATAATGACTTACTTTAGACCCGGCACAGACTGGCGTTCAACCAATCATCTGCAAATTATGCAGACGTTGTGAAAATTATTGAATACATTGGCAGTATTAGTATACAGGGTGTCCCATATAAAACTCCGCGGCAAATATCTAAAAAATTAAAAAGAATATCTATATTTTGTGAAAGCAGATAATTTTGGTGTCAAAGGGTCCTCTTATTTACGTAGAGATCCAGCACCAGGCGTCATCCGTTAGGGCGTCGCGACACCGACGCCAATATTTTTAAATGGTAACCCAGTATTTTCAATTGGTTTTTGAATCCCAAATTAAATTCTAAATTCAGCCATATAGCACATTGTAGTTTTCCTTGAATACTGATGAAAAAAGGCAATTTTATTGTGTATTATAAAGGCCATGAATAAGTCAAAATAAATGAAATAATGTATTTATCGATCTGTCAGAAGACCTGTCTGATTTGACGAAAGTGTATTCAGTTTTGTATTGGTTTTTCGTAAAATTGAAAAATGGTTCAATTTTCAAATGCAGAAAAGTTGGATATGATATGTATTTATGGCGAAGCAAGAAGAAATTCAAAAGAAGCAGTAAGAATATATGCTAATTGGCTCGAAATGGATGTTTTAATGAACGGAAGCGAAAAAACCAAAAACGGCTACTGATGAGAATCACAGTGTTGCAGTGCTAGGTCAAATGGTGTTTGAACCATATAGTTCTACCAGACAAGTAGCAATGCATTGTAACATTTCGAAATCGTCAATACAACGTATTTTGTCAAAAAACAAATTCCATCCATACAAAATACATTTGGCTAAAGAACTACATCCAGGTAATAATCTTCATATTTCATTTTTAATAACTAAAATATATTCCTGTATTCAGGAGATGCTGATAGAAGATTGAACTTCATTGCATGGTCGTCAACTCGTATTCATGATGATGATCAGTTTCTGAAAAAAATATTATGGAGTGATGAAAGCCGTTTCCATAAAAACGGTATAATAAACAAACATAATTGTCACTATTGGTCTGACGTGAACCCTCATTGGGTGCAAGAAACGAGATTTCAGTCTGTGTGAGGGGTTAATGTTTGGTGCGAAATCATTGATGGGTATTTGATAGGACCTCATTTTTTCGAAGGAATTCTTAATGGGTAGAGGTACTTGGTTTTTCTACATGTGTTGCCGAATCTCTTGGAGAATTTACCAATACAAACTCGACTGAATATGTGGTTTCAACAAGATGGGGCACCTCCACATATTAATAGAATAGTTACCCAATATTTCGATGATACTTTTAATGAGAAATAGATTGAAAATAAGGGTCCAATACCATGGCCAGCTCGAAGTCCAGATATTACTTCACTAGATTTCTCTTTGTGGGGATATATCAAAGACTTAGTTTATATGCAACGTCCACAAAATGTAGAGGATTTGAAAAATATTATCACAAATGTTTGTGCTTCCATAAGGCGAGAGACGCTTTTAGCTGTCACGAATCGGGAATTACTAAAAAGATGCAATATGTGTATTCTACGTGAAGGGAGGCAGTTCTAACACTTACTAAAATGATTCTTGTTATCACTAATTGATTTCATTATCATCATGTTAGTCGAGTTATGGTCAAAGTAACATATTTTTTGGTAATTTGAAACATTAATTTTAATTTGTAAAGAAATACGCAACTAGATAAAATTGAATAGACAATGAAATCATAACTGATAGATTCATTTCATTAAACTCGTATTATTGCATTCATTTTGACTTATTCATGGCCTTCTTTACAATACGCAATAAAATTCCCTTTTTTCATCAGTATTCAAGGAAAACTACAAGTGTACTATATGACTGAATTCAGAATTTAATGCAGAATCCAAAAATGAATCAGAAAATTTAGGTTACCATTTAAAAAAATTGGCGTCGGTGTCGCGACGCCCTAATGAATGACGCCTATTGCTGGATCTGTTCGCAAATAAGAGGACCCTTTGACATCAAAATCATCTGCCTTCACGAAATATGGATATTCTCTCTCATTTTTCAGATATTTGCCCAGGGAGTTTTATATGGGACACCCTGTACAGGCTGATTCACGGTGGATGGCACATTAGACGTTTCTGGTGAACCAGACAACGNTCTATTCAGAATAACTCAAATTGATCTACCTTGTTTCAATTACATGATCCTCGTCGTAATCCTTCCCTATCTCAATGTTACATAATGTTTTAATAACATAAGATCGGCATACATCGAAAAGAGCTGTCCTGGCACGTATTAGGTGTTCTAATTAGAATATTGTTTATTTCTCAATTTGTTATTGTTCCACATTATTTGCTATACCAGTACAGCCGTCTGACTTGTCCGTATCTCCCATGTCTCCTGTTTGACCAAAAAATGTCAGAGATTCTACCTATTCTTCAAAGTTCGACTAGGTCACATTTATTAAGGTTTACAAGAAATTCTTGATAGAATTCATTTTGTTTATGAGTCTATTCTTTTTTTAAAAGTTGGTGTTTAAAGCAAGAGTGACTTCCTATAGTTAATTAATTAATTTAGGAATGTTACAGTGTTTTCGGTACTTAAGGCACCATTTATATTATATCATCTTTTTATCCTGATTTTCAGCCACTTCTATATTATCGATTTCATTGTAAGATAATAAATTCAAAAATGCTAGTAATAGAATTCTATTTATGTTATTTTTCCCAGAGAATACTTATAGAAAATGGTTTTTTCCTCTTGGATATCCTTTCATGAAAAATAAAACTTCAAATGTATTATAACCTGTTTAAAATCTGTTTTTCATTCAATATTCCAGCTACAAATCTAACAGCAATAAATTCAAATTGGTGAGCCCTCTGAATTTCACCATTCACATAATCATGCCCACAATATCCATAACCAAATCATTGGAGCCTCGAGCAACAACCAGCGTTCCACGACCCAACAACACAATAATAATATCGTCAACCATCACATGTTGACGTCGAGAACAAATCCTGCAACTGCAACATCGACAGCTGCTGCAGTTGCTGCAGCTATGATGTTGGACCCCAGATTTCATCATGGGTCAACGGTAAGATTCAACTCAACATTATTAAATGATTAATTTTTTGACTTTTTGTTTGAAACTTTCTCAACCCATTCAAAACCATGTTGAATTTAATTTTTGTGCAGATTTATGTTCAAAATGAATTTTGTCTAATTGACATTTATAAATAGAACAAGGAGGGAAAATACTTTGATGTCTTATTTGAGAAATATAGCTTAAGGAATGATTGAAACTTAATGAATAGCAAATGAAGAAAAATTAACATTTTAATGAAAGAAAACAATTTCTATACCTTTGAAATTAAAATCGCTCTTTTTTACATTATACAGGAGAAAACAAATATAATGATGACCATCAGGCAAGATCAGCAAAATAGCATTAGTGAGATGATGGCCAGTTGTGATAATGGGTTGGATTCAGAACTATCATGTGCTGGTTGCAGGTTCAACCAATGCCTGGTCTTGACAATTTTAAACATGGCCTTGATAATGGAACATGAAAGATGGCATGCTTTGAGCTTATGCTCAGTGATTTCTCATTTACCCATGACTTTTCCCTTTTTGTTCAGTACAATGAGTATTGATAGGGATTGTTAATTTTATTTATTTTTGGACAACAGTACCAATCGTTATCTAAATGAAAATATCTACATCTACAAACACCATGAGTCTTCAGTGATGCCAATCGGTCCCAGGTTTCGGTCATATTGTCCGAGAATATGTTTGATGTTTGTTCCTCCACATATTTCGAAATTTCTGTTTTATTCGATCCCGATACATGCATATGTTATCATGGGTTCCATCACCTTTGTGTTTATCCAATACATCATGTCTGGTTTAAGCCCCCATATCTTTTGTAGTTGTGTCTGGCCAGCATCAGTGCTACCTCCGCCTTATCTTTTATTAACTCTTCCTAGATGTTGGTTGGAGACCAACCTGGGATCTAGTATCACTCCTAGATATTTGACCTCTCCCGACAGATTTATCCCATCACCTCAAAGTTTCAGAGGTACCAGACCCTCTTTTGTCAATTTCATCGGGCTTGTGTTCAGCCCTTCTTCATTGATCCATTTAGTTATAATATTCAGAGTTTGCTGCATGTGTCCCTTTACTATATTATTTTTGCTTCAACCTTTATGTTCATGTTGGTCCAGAAGGCGTAGTAACTCGTCCATTACAAGGCTCCATAAGAGTAGGGACAACCACCCCACTTCACCCTGAAGACAACTGCTTAGTACCCGTGCCACTACTGCCTCTGCCATTATGGTTGTACAATATACCAATCTTCCTCTAAGCATGCAGACTATCCACCTACAGCTTGACTGAGTCATGGCCGGTGGGAGAAATCGTAACTGCGTAAAGTTTGGGACAGTGTATGCCAAGGAAAGTATTGGGAAAAAAGGAATAGAAACTTGTGTTTGCTTTACGTAGTACGGCTCAAATAATCTAACAGACCGATAACAGATTTCTACACATCTACTACACATCTTGAGGGAGGGGCTCATGATTTTGTCTGGCAGCTGTACAGCTTGTGCTGTCGATCCCTCTTCTCCTCAACATCTGGATGATTGATTCTTTCCATGTCCAAGAAAACAGCTGAAAGCACTTCCTTATAAACATATTCTGCTTTTTCTGTCGACATACATGATCTATAATAGGCATATTGGTCCGATGCACTGGTCTGTTCTTGTAAGCATATTCTGATTTTTCCTTGACTCGACATAAAGCTGTTTCTCTCGACATATACCTGATCTGTAGATATATTGGTCTCAATGCAGTGGTCTGGTAGCCAATGCTATGTCCCTAATATGCCTGGAAAGTAATTTCATTAATATCTTTAATGTAAAAGACATGAGACTGATTTGTTTCAAGGCCTTTGCCGAGTCTTTTCCGATTTTTCCAGGTTTTGGAATGAAGGTGGCCTTATTTAGCCAATGTTTGGTATAAATCCCAGAGCCAAACTTGTTCTGAGGATTAAACACAATTGAATATATAATAAAGAAAATAACTTTTGTTTAATTTCTGAGTTAATTATTTGTTACGACCGGTTTCTACAAAATAAATAGGATACTATCGAACAAGTTAAACATAGTTGTTCAAATAAAAGTTCCGGGCCTTTTTGCAGTGTTGTCTTCACATAAATGGAAACTTTCTATAGAGAGCTTCGAGAATCTGCGTCCGTTTAGCTGATCAACTCTAAAACTCCGAAAAATATTATTATATTTTTATTATACATTCACCAACGACTGAGCGGCCATGGATTCCTGAGTTTGGAGTATCTACTCAACAAATGTGGCTGTAACATGTAAAGTCATCAGGGATTCGGCAGACTCCGTGACCATAAAAAATAAAGGAAAGAAACCGATAAACTAGGCTTTGTTTATGAACTGAATGAGGTAATCAATTGGAATGAACTCGCTCAATGATAAGCCCATATAAATATACATTCACCAACGACTGAGAGGCTGTGGATTCCTGAGTTTGGTGTATCTACTCAATAAATGTGGCTGTAACATGTAAAATCATCAGGAATTCGGCAGACTCCGTGACCATAAAAAATAAAGGAAAGCAACTGTTAAACTAGGCTTTGTTTATGACACTGAACGAGGTAATCAGTTGGAATGAACTCGTTCAATGATAAGCTCATATAAAGCAGCAGAGATGAATTTACTCTTGAGGCTTACATAGAGATAAACTAATGCATCAGATCTTCACTAATATTGAAGACCTGGGCTTATCCCAATAACCAGAGCTTTGCTTTCCTTGGTCAAATATTGCCCAAAAGAAGGAAAAATAAATTAGACGCCGTGCCGTGCTTTACTCTTTGAACTCTGCCCAGACCACTCTGTTGAAATGGTTGCATTTATTATAGAACTCTTTGATGGAATAATGATGGAATATCATCAATTTGTAATAGATTATAGGGTGGCCAATATTAATATTACTGGAGGTTTTTCCCAACACCAAACCGTTATTTTAACACCTTGACACGTATCGATCACCAAGTGATCATCTTGAAGAGAAAGACCTTCATCTTGAAGATGATCACTTGGTGATCAAAACACGTGTCGAAGTGTTGAAATAACGGTGTGGTGTTGGGAAAATATTCATTGCTACACCAAAGATTCCAATCAGTGCAGCAAAAGGTGGCCAATATACCAAAATTAGCTCATTACACTTTTGAGTCAGAGGTGTTGCTAACCACCAAGCAGCACTGCAGTGCTTTGAGTTAAGATTCCAAGAAATCATCTTCCAGTGTATACTGTTTCCAACAAAAAGAAGTTTCATATCTAACAAAAAGAAATAGTTTATCTCGCTGTGTCAAAAATCAAGTGGAATTTATTGCTAAAAAATACTCGGGTTTGGTTTCTTTTTTTTCTAAGAGAAATAAACTGAGGGCACACATTCCTTTCAAATAAATTATACGGACAAATAGTTTTCAAGTTCTCCTGTGAAGTGTACAATTTTTACACAAACAGAAGTGAGATGCTCAAATTATTTATGCATAGTATTTCAGCACTTATAATAAACACTAAAATATTCATGAGGAACTTTCCTTGCATTTCAGAACATGACTATTTGACAAAAATTAACTGGATCTCCGAAATGACATTACACTTGTTTTGTTCCACAGTTCACATTTTCGGTATTTCATCACATTTCTTCAGTACCCACAATAAACATGCAACTTTTATCATATTCAACCATGTCCACTTTCCGAGATATAAATTTAACATAGCTTTCGTAAACAACATTGTATGTGCAAACAATATGAATTAAATTTCTGATTTGAATCTCGAACCCATCTCAATAAGTCAACTAAGAAATCGGATGATATCTATCAGAAATCTAGTTTGCTATGTAGCAGATTCCACTTTCAATTGATTACCGATCAATATTTTGCACAATGTTTTTCAGGTGCCATATCATCCTACCACCACTCCTGTGTCAATGGCAATGGCTGCTGTGCAATCGTCTCAACAAATTCAGGCAACTGGACAACCAACCGAATATACTCCTACTTTGCAAAATTGCATGACACTTTTCTAGTCAAAAATATAATTGTCATTTATATAAAAACATTTTGTTATTTAGTGTGTATCAATATTAATGCAAGTTTTTGTTATTAGTCGAAAGTACAAAATTGTGATTCATTTGATATATTTTGTTATTTAGTATTTATCAATATTATGATTGTTTGAGTTTTATTTATTTCGTTTTGTTTTCAAATCAAATATGCACTTCAAAATAAATTAATATACTGTCAAAAAATTATAGTGTTTATATTGTGAAAGTGTCGAGTACGAAGTACTTTGTGTTTGCTGTCATTAAATTTAATGATTTGTTTTTTACAATTGTCCAATGAAAACATCCATTCTCAAACTCAAGAAATCTGCATGCTTATATGACAAAATTATTAGAAGTAATGAGTCAAGGGCAGGCTTAATTAGAGATAATCCAACTCGGCATTTTGAAAGCACCCTGCTTGGGAAACTTTTCAAAAATGACCGTTTATTGGAAGGTTATATACCCAAAAAACATATTTACCTGAATAACAATATGCCGTTGAGAAAGTTCTGAAATTTCGAGTATATCCGGAAAAAACAGAAATTTCGCAAAATGGTTTTTATTTTTTTTCAGCTTCATTTTCCGAAGGATTCAAATATAAATTGCACTTCCACATTGCCACTTTTTCCCTGCTACATAATGGTGTTTTCAGATTTGCTCTCCGACGTTTCCACCATCATCAACTTTATTTTTTCTTATGTGTGCTACATTACATTCTTTCTGTTTTAAATATAACCAGATTTTACCTTTTTAATGATGTATCATAAGTTATCATTCTTTTTCCAAAAATTGGAGATATTGAAAAAAATTAATTTTTATCATAATAGGCTTTGACTTTGGTGTTTATGAATTTGACTTTCAATTTGTTGCACTCAGTGACATTTTGTTATTGTACCAGTCATTGAATTTTTGGCGAAAAATGGCTTTTACGAATGAAGAAAAAAGAGATATGATACAAATTTATAACAAATACGATAGAAACAGTGTTACGACATTTGAAATGTATTTAAACTTGTATCCCGAAAGAAGACAACCACATCGAACTATGTTCAAGTCATTGGATCAAAATCTCACCGAGTTTGGTTCATTTGAAAAACCGAGGAAAAAATACGGAGACAGAAAGGACCAGGAAACTAAAGAAAATTTTATAAATGAGTTGTGTATGAGGTAAATTAGACATGTCCTTTTCGATGAAAATAGCACTTTGAAGAAATAACAATAATTTACTAAAATGTGAAGACAAAAGTAAATTACAGCAAATGCTCAAAATGCTGGCCTTCTTCAAATATTATTCACTGCACGATTAATTTCCCTCCTTCTCAATCTTCCAAACTCTCTAACAATGCTATGTTGAAGGTCCTCAATATTTTGATATTCCCTCTGACCATAAACTCTATTTTTCAGTGTACCCCATAAGAATGTATCCATAACACTTAAGTCTGGAGACCTTGCTGGCCACCTCACTAGACCATTATTCCCTATCCATTTATTACCAAACCTTTCAGTCAGGTAATTGAATACTCGTTTGGTAGTGTGTGGTGGAGCACCATCATATTGAAACCCGATGTTATACTTAGCCAAAGGTAGAGCATCCAAATAGTCTACGAAAATAGACATTAAAAACTGGTGATAAGTTTCTCCATTCAGAATTCCGTCAAATAAATGACCCAAAATTCTATCTTTGGAAAATTCTGCCCATATGTAAATACTAAATCGCACTTGAGGTTGAATTTCTCGGAACTGCCTGGGGTTGTTTATGCTCCAAATGTGTTTGTTATTTCAGTTGAATATCCCACAATTCGTAAAAGTGATTTCATCTGTCCAAATTACATTTTCCAGAAAAACAGGAAATTCAGGTCTTCTTATTAGCCAATTACAAAATTCTAATCGCCTTTCGGGAACACCTGCATGCAATTTTTGAGATATGTGTATTCTCTAACATTTTAAACCGCTTCTTTGAGATGTCTCCTAGCACTTGTATGACAAATATTAATTTCGGAAAAAATTTGACGTGTAGATCTACGCCAGGTCCATGTTCATCTGCAAATTATTAATTTTTATTGAAAAGGACACAATGTCTAAATTACCTCATTTATCAAAATGTCTAAATCACCTCATACATACCTCATTTATCAAAATTTCTTTAGTTTCCTGGTCCATTCTGTCTCCGTATTTTTTCCTCGGCTTTTCAAATGAACCAAACTCTGTGAGATTTTGATCCAATAACTTGAACATAGTTCGATGTGGTTGTCATCTTTCGGGATACAAGTTTAAATACATTTCCGATGTCCTAACACTGTTTCTATCGTATTTGATAACTTATGATACATCATTGAAAAGGTAAAATCTGAGTCTATTCAAAACAGAAAGAATCTAATGTAGCACCCATAAGAAAAAATAAAGTTGATGATGGTGGCCGGAAGACGAAACGTCGGATAGCAAATTTGAAAACACCATTTTTAGCAGAGAAAAAGTGGCAACTTGAAAGTGCAATTTATTTTCGAATCCTTCGAGAAATGAAGTTAGAAAAAAATAAAAACCATTTTTCGAAATTTCTGTTTTTTCCGGATATCTTCGGATATAGGCACTCGGAATTTCAGAACTTTCTCAACGGCATATTGTTAGTCAGGTAAATGTGTAGCTTTGCCCCCAATTTAACCATCTTCGTATCTTTCATAGTTACCGATATCCCAATGGTGAGGAACGAATTTGAAACACACTGTATATACACTACTTTATCAGAAAAAGAAAAAAAATAATTGAACAAAACACAAACTAGTCAAAATACAGCCGTTTTCAGCTCACCATACTATAATGTTATAACAATTGGTTTTGAATATCAAAAAACACAAGAATCCAGTATTCTGGATTCTTGTCTGGTCTTCCCAATTCTGTCCGTATTGGGAAAACCGTCACTACTTCGGTTTTCTGATTTGGCATGCTGGTAGCTTGCCTCTCACCCGTCCCGTTCATCCCTCACCACACTCTCTGCCCACCCATTCATTCGCAGCACGTATCCATTCATTTCTTCTTCCATTGCTATCTCTCAGTTGCATTCCTCCCTTTTTTTGTTCCAGTCGTTCTTTTCATTCTCGCTACCCAACTCTCCATCCATACATCTTTCAAGCACATGTTTTGCCGTTTCAGGCTCCCCTATCCACATGGGCAAGGCACCTCCGGTCCCAAGTTGAATCTGGCCAGGTAACCCGGAAAGTTACCGTGCCCCGTGAACAGTTGAACTGCCTTCCCAGACAATCTAGTGATTCATACCCGACTGTCTTACAAACTCTGTAGAGCAGTCGCCCAGTCATACCGTTATCCCATTTCCGCTGCCATTCTTTCGTGATACATTCCTTTATCCTCTTTCTCTCTTCACTCTTGCTACTCATTTTTCTTACATTCCATGATATGCTATCCTTTCTCATATCTTTAATGGTCTCCTCGTGGGCCTTTTCATTTTCCAGGTTGTCTTTTTGATGTCCCTTTCGTGCTCCCCTTTCACTCTTCAATCATTTTTTGAATCATAGCCACCCTTTTGTTGTTCACTTGTGTCGTTTTCATCCTTTCCACCGTCATGGCAGAGTCACTAATTACTCCAACATTATATTATTCATACCCCACATATCTATCACTCTCTCTATCTCAATCAATTCCGCTTCGTTCACGCTGTTCTGTCCGGAAATCCTTTCATTCCCTAGAACCTACTCCTTTCATACGTCTCTCCTCGTCCACCCTCGCTTCGGCATCCACATACACCTCTGTCATCCCCTCGTCTTGCATCTCCTCAAGCAACATCCCTTGCATCTATGGGAGTATCTTGTCTGTACCTTTCATTTTGTCTTCAGTCTTCCTTTCACCCTTCATTCTCCTCTCATGGTATCTGGCCCCGGATTCCGACAGCCATCTTAATTTCAAACAGGTTGGAGCCTGGCTCCCTTACCCTTACGTCTGACGCTAGTCAGAAGGACAAATGGATCATAACTGATCATGGGATGGCGGCATGAATGTCCTCAGACATCAGTACCGCCCTTCACGGTGAACTCCTGCCTGGCTGGAGTGTTTTGGATGAAGGGAGTCATCTGTTAACGAGGGACATGAGGGCCTCATTCGACAGAGTGTCTAGGCCTTCTATATCGGGAGTGGTCGTCTACAGCGTAATCTATAGCTTCCCTAACTAAGACCCCGGCTTCAATATGAAGTGGAGCCTGAGATCACACTGAGCGCAGCCGACGGCGCCTTCCTATACGCCCCACATGAAGCAATAATAAAAGGTCTCTGCGCCGCGCTCAGCTGTCTCCTGACTATGATGTCGTGCACCCTACACCCCCACACTTGCACTCCATACATAGCTGCAGGTTTCGCTACCCTTTCGTATATGATTCTGACCCAGTCTCCCCTCAGTCCAATATTCCTTCCGGTCCATCTCCTCATTTTCCCCGCCACTGTATTTAGTTTTTTCCTATCCTCTTATTGGTGGTCTATGAACAATAATCCAGAGTCCACCACAATTCCCAGGTATTTCACATTCATTCCGATTTCCATCTCTTTGTCTAATTCATTCTCATAACCGGGAGTCTTTCATCCCGTCTGGCCTGTATGTACATGAATTCTGTCTTCCTTTCATTGTATTCCAACCACATCTCTTCCTCCCATGCTTTACATTTATTACAGACCAGATTCCATTTTTTTTCGATGTCGCCTACGGAGCCACCTTCAACGATGAGCAGCTGGTCATCTGTGTAGGCTCCTGGGCTCATCAGCCATAGAATCGGTCCCAGACTAGAACCCTGTGGACAGCCTCTGTTTATGATTTCAGAGACCGTTCCACAAGTGACTGTTCTCTTCCCCACATTTTCCAGCATACCCATTCGCGTCATGCAATTCTCAATTACCGGTACCCACGCGGTATTGAAGACATTGGACAAGTCCAACGCCACAACCAGGCTGTGTCTCCTTCCTCTCTTATTCTCTTTAATCCTTTTCATTAATTTCTCAACAGCCATTACTGTATCCATTTCTCCTATAAAACCATATTGGTTTCACTTTCCCTTTCACACCAGGCTTGAATCCTACCATTAAGGAGCCTGTCCAACATGCGCCCCATGCCTGTCAATAAGCTGATAGGCTTGTAGTTTCCGTCCTTTTTTGGTATCCATACGACCTTTGTTTGCTTCCATACCGCAGGGAAATACCTTCTTTCCAGACAGCCGTTGAAAAGTCTCATCATGTATTCTCCCTCCGATTCAGTGATCCTACGAATCACTTCGTTGGGACCCCATCTATGCCAGTCGCCTTTCCATCGAGTAGCTGATCAGCTACTGCCCGCAGTGCCCGCAGCTCCTCAATAGAAAAGAGCGGCTGATCCTCACGCCACTCCCCCCTTTCTCCATCCCTTATTTGACTGCCTGACAGGAGTGTCGCTCAAGTGATCATCGTTAGGAAAGTATTTGTTATTATTATTATTACTCTTTATTAGCAAATAATGCTCTTCATAGTAGAGCGAGTCACTTATAAAATACAAAACAATAAAAAATATATATAAAATTAGAGACAAGTCACATTTTAAAAACAAGAAACTAGAAAACAAGACGAATTATTGATGACAATTACTTGAAATATATTCACTACATTTTCTTTTGAATGAATTTAATGAATCACAGCTTTTTATATGACTTGGCAAATTATTAAATGCAATCAGACAAAAACTATACAACGAGTCACAACCTATATGTTTTCTGTTGATATAAAAATTTCCTAATCTATTTCTAGTGGAGTGTGTATGAATACTACTTGTGTAGGTTAACTGATCACTCAGATAATTTGGCAACATATTCTGTTTAATTTTAAATATAAATATTAGCATATTCAGTGTTATCCTTTGTTTAGCAGACATAAGAGACAGTGTTTCCAACATGTATTCCACAGATGTGTGTTTATTACAACTTAATATTGCCCTCATGGATCTGTTTTGAAGCTTCTGTAGTTTGTTTAGATTTTTCATTGCTCACAAAATAGAGTAATGTACTGCAATAGTCAAAGTGGGGTACTATTATTGATTTATAAATTGTTAATTTTGCATATTCGCTTATTTTATTTTTCAATCTATATAAAAGATGAATTTTCATGGCTATTTTCTTCTGAATATAACTACAGTGCGCATTAAAGTTCAATTCTTGATCTAATACCACTCCCAGATATTTAAAAGTTGTTACCCTTTCAATGATGACATTATCAATATAAAGATTCAATGACAGCTGTTCATCTTGCAGTTGTCTTCAACGATATTTGCTACCTATTAACATGCAGGAATCTGCTGGTTTCTTCCTTCCCCCTGTATAAGTTCCATGATCTCTCACAACTTTGGAAGGATTTCCCTGACTCTATCATCGTTGAGGAGTTGGTAGGCGCGGTCCCACGGATTTTCAACCTGAATCCGCTCCACTCTCTCCTTCAACCACGCAATTCTAGCACTCCCTCCCATTCTTTTATACCTATTCCTTTCTCTCCTATACTCATTTATTCTTCGTCTCCTTGCCTCTTCGTCCCTTGTGCTTCTCTTCTCAGTATCCTTACACTCTTCCGTGAGTTTTTCAACTCCACGTTCCACCATTCTTTCTCAGGGACGATCAGTTTTTCACTCTTAGGTATGTACCTCATACATGCTTCCCTCAGTTTCTCTTGAAGCTTAGTAGCTTGATATCGCTCTATCCCAACCCAGTTGGCTCCTCAGACATTTGTCACCATCACTTTCGCATCTTTGGTAGACCCATCAGGCAGAACTCAATCATACAATGGTCACTCATGGTTTCCTCCATACACACTTTCCAGTCATCTACCTGCATACTTCCACTAATGGTCAAATCGATCCAGCTTTCCCCTCTGTTGTTGTACCACATACAGTGGAATCCTTACTTGTCACTGCCAAATACGAGGTCTGTTCAAAAGGTGAGTTCTAATTTTTCTCAAAAAAATATTTATTCATCAATTTCTAATTTTCCCCTCCAAAGTAGCTCCCCTCAGATATAATACACTTGTGTCAGGGTTTTTTCCAATCCTCGAAGCAGTTCTGATATGCACTTTTTGGTATGTCCTTGAGCTCTCTCAGCGATTCAGTTTTTATCTCCTCAATCGTGGTTTATACTAGAATAGACGAATTCTTGAGAATAAAAACCAATCCAAATTCCTGGGAATCGTCATGGGTAACAAATTAAAATTTGATCAACATCAACAACAACAGCTTTGAATAAAAAATTTGCATCAGGATGTTATGCACTTCGAATAGTTTCAAATGAACTGAGTTCATCCACAACAAAAATGATATATCATTCCCTGATTGAGTCCCACCTGAGATATGGTGTTGCCTTCTGGGGATTTTGCAGTCAACAACTTTTTCATTCAGTGTTTGTTTTGCAATATCTTGGGAACAGGAAAAATAAGTCGCAGGGGGGCAAATCTGGCAAATATCGTGAAGCCATGAATTGTTTTCCCACAATACCGGTGTCGTTTTCTTCGTACTGCTTCTTGCAAGCGACGCATAACTTCAAGATAATACTCCCTTTTGACCATACGACCATGTAACAAGAAGTCCTGATGCACTACGCCACGATAATCAACGAAAACAGTGAGCGAAACCTTGACATTTCATCGAACTTTGCGTGCTTATTTTGGTCTTGGCTCTCCTTGGCTCTTTCACTGAGGCGATTTAACTTTTGTTTCGATATTATAACCATATAATAATAATAAAGGTATTTTATTAATTTTCAGTTATATTCATACATGTGAACTAAAAAAAGGTAAATGGGCGGAAGGTACAGACTGACATCTATTCTGCCATGATTCGTTACCAGTTATGACTTTTTTTAGCAAATATGATTTGCCGTTTAAGTCACTGAACAATTTCTCATGCCACGGTTTTTTTGGTCGAAATTCAGTAATTTTGGAACGAACTTCTCTGCCACATGCGTGATGCCCAAAATTTACGAAAAAATTGCATGGCAAAAACCAATCGATATGCCAACGTCCTCAGCAACTTCTCTAATAGTGATTCGACGACTTTTATAACAATTTTCTTCATTTTATCAACATTTTCATCGGTTGTTGATGAGCCAGAAAGGAAGTTTTCCTGAAAAAATTGGAGCCCTCAAACTGGGGAAAAACATTTCCAAGCAAAGTCAAATGAAAATTCGATCACCAGCTTTGAATAACGATGATATTTAGTTGTAAGTGGACGAACAAATTCAGATACTATATTGGATTTGCCCAACTGAATATCCAACTATCTTACCCAAAAAACGTCCATTAGCTTATATCTTCCTGTAAAATCTACATGAAAAATTTTCACATTAGGATATAGAACTCGTTCCACCAATTTTGCGATTAGGCTTGCATCCACGAATGGATAAATGTCTTTATACTTGTCTTTGCCAGCCCACAGACGGGTTCTGGACCTATCATGGCCTTGGATGCATCTTCACGGGCTGAAGCATCGGCCTCCTCATTGCCCTTGCGTCCGGGTATCCCGGCTGGGGTAATCTTGTTGTAGGATCCTAGCTCATTGAGTGCGCTAAGACAGAGTGCGAAAAAACTTGGTAAGTGCTGAGCGTCTCAATTGTCGCCTGGCTGTCAAAGAAAATGGTAATGGTTTTGTTTTCAACCTTCTTCTTGAGTAATTCTCCCATACAGTGTTTGCTAAGAGGCAACTTCTGTCCGAGGCAAAATGCAATTCTCGTCTTCACTCTGCCTCCATATAAGGCGGCTCCTACTCCTTCTTGAGTTTTTCAACTGTCCATATACCAAGTTTCCACCACTTTAACCGGTGGGCAATTTTTCTAGTCATCTCTGCTTGGTGTGATAACATTGAAGCTTTCATAAAAAATGTACTGGGAAACAGGATTGTCCACTAGCATTCCCAGTATTGGATCTGTCCTCAATTTCATTTTTTTAATGCACAACTAGCTGATCGGAGTTGGCCCCTGCATCGGCCTGTATGTTCAAATTGTGTATATTTGTTTTTTACATTTTTTGAAAGGGACTATACAAACTATTTTGTCTACAAACTTTGTAAAATTTCATTTAAAGTGGTTCCAAGATAATTATTATAAGATATCCCCGCCTTAGACCGAATAAGGTTTTCAGAGTTTGGAAAGTTTCACTCTTGCCATCTGACCTGAAAGATCTCTCACCAAATAAGTCAACGGCTTCGTGAAGAAGCTGGACTTACTTACCGGAGTTTGAATAGGTGTGACCCAACAGATTGAGCTCAAGTACTAAAATATTAACCTTCCAGTAGATACCACAATTTTTTTTGCATTAGTTGTTGTCCTGGTCTGTTCGATTGGTATTCAATAATTCTTTTTTTTTATGAAAAAAATCTTTTACGATTTGGTCATAATTTGGGATTATATGATCAGTTACAAAAAAATAATTAGAATGAATCAAAAAGATTTTTTAGTTTCGTTTCCTGAACCAAAGTTTTTTTTCAATTTATTAACTAAAGTTTGAAAAAGCTGATTGAACTTGTCACAAAAAAGGTAAAACAAACTTCTGGCGTATTATAATTCCGAAATAATTAGGAAGGTTATAGTCACAAGAGCTTACTACTTCTAGTTTGCATAAAATCATAAATATATTTCACCACTACTAGAAGATCAATAACACCAAGTAGACATTAATTTAGATTTTATTCACGAATATATAGATGATTCATGTAAAAGTTAGCTTTGATACTGATATGAATTCTCAACTGGGAAATTTATGAATTGATCATTATTTATATCACTCAATGGAACAATATCTGAATCTCTGCTGTTTATGATACCTGTTGTATTCATGTAATTATTTCCATCACATAACCAAGTATGGTCTTTTGCTGCTTCCTCAGTGACAACCAAAAACAGCTGTTTCTCAATACAGTCCAATTCGTCTCTCAGGTAATTCAACAGGTCATTATCCTGAAACTAACCATTTTCATAACTATTTTTTTGAATTATGTTTTAACTTACACGTCCAATAAGTAGCGGATTATCTAGTTTAGAATCCAAGTTATAAAATAATCCAGCGATATCTCTGATTGTCACCCAATGCTTTCTACGAAGTGGTAATGTTATGAAACTTATTTTATAATCACTTGGTACATTCAATATGAAACCACAAATTTTATTTAAGTTCAAACAACTAGGATCTCTAAAATATACGAATATTTAAATTACTAAAAATATATTTATAGGAAGAGACACTAGTCACTCTTTTACTGAAAAATCTTGTTGACACTGATGAATTTGATTGAACCAACTCACCATATAATATGCTCAATAAATGATTTTTCAATAATAGAATGCTTCTAGCATCAAAGTGAAATTCTCACTTTCGTTTATCAAACCATATTGCCTCACAACCTCTTGACTGCAGTGCTTTCATAATTACATTAATATCATAATTTCCAAGTCCTAGAATTGACTTATGAGGGTTTATCCAGTGATCAGGTGAAAGAGAGTAGCAAATTAAGTCCAACTCTGATTTTGTGAATGCATCCCTTGATTGAAACAAATTGTTGAGGGCATGGAGAGCGCATAATTCTCTTATTTGTTTCTCGTGATATATAATATTTGAAGTGTTTGAATTCATATCACAAGGAGGTCAAGGAATTATTGTCCAAATCGATTTCAGAGATTCATTCAACATATTTTTAAAATTTCCACATAGGGAGTATAGGTCAGGTTTTCTTGCACAGGATAAGTTTAAATTATCCTTCAATTTTACATTCCGAAGTCAACAAAAATTGACTACAAATTGTATGGTATAACTTGATCACGACTTCCATACACTGAACTATTTATCAATAAAATAGTAGAACAAAAAAGCGTCATTGGCAAAGACTAGAGTACAGTATTCCATCACAAACCACTTACTCTAGAGTAAGTGGTTTGTGGGTTTGTGCTTTCTAATCACTACCACAAGTTCTGTGATCACTACTCACCGACATAACCTATAACTTTCTACTGTGTCTGTGCCACCGACATATCTATGTCGATGGTCTGTGCCATCGACATGATTAAGGTTATGTCGATGGTCTGTGCCATCGACATGATTAAGGTTATGTCGATGGTCTGTGCTAGAATTTTATAAACCATTGAGTGTTGCTAGATTACGGTAGATTATTACCAACAGCAAACCAGAAATATTGATGTTTTGACTTTGAAATTGAAATGCTTTAAATCAAACTTGGCTTTGTTCAAGTGTTGACAAAAATACCCAATCTACGGCTCTCTTGATTGTTCATAAAATAAAGATATCTAACATATTTCGGCAATCCATTAACAGAGGCGCTAAGCGCACACCAATGTTTACATTTTGAAACGGTTGTTGTTCTATCTATCAACATGTGTACGAAGTTGGGGCAATCTCATTTCTCGCGTCAAGAGATTTTGACAAAACAAAAGCGAATATGCTAAAACATAGAATCATAGAAATTATAATGTATATCATATATAGTATATAACTATAGTTTCTATGCAATTTTTGATGCCAATCTTTTCATCTTCTCTTCTGACTTTTGACTTGTCCCCACTTGCCACTTCCACCTTCCACTGATACAGTGATACATTATTGTTTACTATTTCGTCACAGCCAGGTCCATAGTGAAAAGAAATACCAGGAGGGGGGATGGAATCCAAATTTTCCCAACCCCACCAGCAAAATGTCCCAACTTTCGAAAAAATGGAAGCCACCATATTCACCATGGATAGAAATATCCAATACAAATGAAAGGAAACAAATGAAATCCCACCCTTTTCCCGGTTCTTTCCCTTTTCTTATTACCTCTTCCTTTATTTTCTCTCATTTTTATTTTCTCAATTTTCATTCATTTTTTTACTATTATTTTTTTCTATCTTTACGGCCCAAAATTTCCCAACTTTTTCCCAAGTCGAAAAAGCAGCTCCTCCCCATCCCCCCATGGCGACGGCCCTGGTCACAGCATGTCTAGAAAACTCAAACATATTGTGACAAATTAAAGAATTAATTGTCTTAAGCAGATTTATTTCCAACAATATTTCACTAATCACAAACTTTTTATTTATTACAACACTTAACGCTTAATTTATTTCAACTATTTGAATTTCTTGTTTAAGCACTCGATTCACTTTCTGAACTGCCTTCTTTGGTCGGGAAGACATGCTTATATTGGTAAAGGTCCTTTCTAGAATTCTGTAGTCGGTTTGGTACTAGAATTTTACCGGCAACTCCCGACTGCATTCTTTCATGGTGATGTCATGTTTGTTCCATGTACTGGTCAGGGGTGGCTTCAGATTCTTTACATTGCCCCCTTCTTAAAGAAATTTCGCCCCGAAATGTCATCCTGGCGTGTGTCGATACCTGCAGGACTCCCCATATCTGCATTGTAAAGTTCGATGGAAGTAACACTCCACAGTCTTCATGCTCGGTCGTGGAAGATGGTTACCGCACACCAAAATCTTGATGCCGCCAACATGCTTCTCACAATTCTCCAATCCAGCCTGTCAAGCCCAGAGGCTAATTTCGGGATTGTCAAGTCCACAAGGTTCTGGTCGAGTATCGTAACCCTCAGTCTGGTAAGACTCCTTCAGACATCTTCATAGGACGGTTTATCTCGAGAATGCTTTTTGGTCACCAAGTAGAAAATGATTCTCTGACCCTTCTTCAAGTGTAGCACTCCTCCGACTTCTGGATTCTGATCTCGTAATGTTTGGAGCTGACTGATTTTCTTGTTGAATACCACAGCGATACCCCTGGACATTTGGAGGTTCTCTGCCACGCAGTGAGCTAGTGCGTAATCAACTGGAACCTTGAAAAGGTCTCGTGGCTCTTCTTGACTAACCCAATGTACGACCTTCTGTGCGTTCGATTATATAAAGACATGAACTTCTGGAACGTCATTTCATCCTCTGGTGGTCTGAGGACGCGAAGTTGGTCATGCTTTCCAGCATTAGGAGCCAATCTATTGAAATGGACGACCCTAGGCTTTCCTCGAGGTGGCTTACGGATTCGGTAGACGAGGTCATTTATCTTCTTCATGATTTTGTACGGACCTTCCCACGATGTCCGCAACTTTGGTGATAAACCACGGTGTCGCTTAGGGTTGTACAGCCAAACTAGGTCACCATTTTCGAATCTTGCAGCATTCGCCTTGATGTCATAGGACTTCTTCATAGTATCGCTGGCACTCCGGATATTCAGGTAGACTCGTTTATGTATGTCGTCTATTCTCTGCCGAAGCTTGCTGACATAGTTTTTCCCCGCAGTGTCTTGTTCTGGCGGTGCCCCAAATTTCAGATCGCAAGGAAGCCGCAGCTCTCGGCCCATTATAATACTGGTAGGGGTTTGGCCGGTTGACTCGTGTTTATGGTCTAATTCATTCGTTCCACCATTCTATCGGACTGTGGATGTAAGGCTGTGGTTCTGGTCTTTCGAATGTCCAACACTTTACACATTTCTTGGAACAGGTTGGACTCGAAATTTCTGCCCTGGTCCGAATGCGGCTCCAATAGGACATCGAATCGACATATCCATTCCTTCACCAGGACGTCAGCGACGGTAAAGGCTTCCTGGTTGGGCAGGGCTTCTGCCCACTTACTGAAGTAGTCCATGGCTACCAGGATGTATTTGTTTCCATGGTCGGACTCTAGTTACGGGCCGGCGATATCGATGGCGATTCTCTCAAAGACAGTACCCACGTTATACAGGCGCATTAGAGCTTTCAGTAGTATCCGAGGTCCTTTACTGGCAGCAAATACACCACACTTTTTGGCTACTTACTTGTTGTTCGTATATATTTTATTAATCATATCTATTTTAAAAAAATCTGTTTTTTCTTTAACCTGCTGTCGCACCCCTACGAACGACAACCCTCAGAAGTCAAAACTTGTGCGAGCTAATGATTAACGAGGTCTTTCCTTTTAACGTGTGATTCCTAGCAAACCAGGAACCTACGAATCGTATCGTTATTTCTAAACCCAATACATATTAATAAGGCAACTACTGATGCGTGTTCACACATTGTCTTTATTATATACTCCTCAAAAATAGTTTCATTTTCGAACATTAAACTCACACTTCGAAATCACCAAGCTAGATGTAACGTTCCTCTCCTTATGCTTAAGATATATGTGTCTCTAATTGAAACACCGCGATGCAATGCAAAATATTATGGACAAAAAAGTGAGATATAAGGAACACATAGCACACTTTAAATATGGAAAACATGAAAAATCAGCAGTCGCTCATCATATTTTGCAACAAAACCATTTAAAAATACTAAAAATATGGTAACTCTTTCATTATACAATTGCATGCGACGAAAAATTCAATTAAACATATATAAAAACTGTTCCAAGATTTCTACTAAAGACAATATAAAATAGGTATTTCAATATAGCTGTAATAAAACCTCCCAATTACATGAATATTTCTTCCTATCCCTGTTCAATGACATCTTCATCAATAAATTGTTGTCTCTTTTTTATCAGTTTGGCCATCTTGCTATTAACTTTAGCATTATCAATTGTATCTCCATGAGCTTACTCAAACTCTCTCCAATTTTAAGCAATAAATTCAGATGAATTTTTTAGGCTCTCCTTTTGGCTCTTTCAAATACTCTCCTGGATAACAGAACATTCATGTTGGGTTTTGATTGTGTGTTAAGTTCGAATGTGGCATAAGACAGCCACACTTTCTAGCAGTCTTTCATAGATTTGTCTAGCATTTTCAGGTTCTTCCTGAGAAATTCCAAAGTCTATATAAGACTTCCAAGGTAACTTTTGTAATATGTATTTGTAGGTATATCCATTTCATCCATTGTCTCTTGATGTTATTTTTTTGTGAAATGAATCTTAAAGTGTTGATAGAAGTATAATTTTTTTTCTACTGGAAGATAATTGCAGCATTATTGTAACAATATTTTCTAGAGGCTTGGTAAGTTTTCGTTTTGAAGGCACCCGGCGATTTTTAAAAAAATTTTGAGTGTACTTACGTATGTTGATGCGTAGATTACGAATCCGAAAGGAAAAAGAGGCGCTCTCCCTTATTTACAAAGTTACGGCCCTTCAAAGTTCAGAAAAGGGCGACTTTTCAGCCTTCTTTTTCACAAAATGAACTATTTAAAAACACAAGCATTTATTCACTAAGGTCACCTTTACTCCTTATTCCTCATCCAAACAATACAGAATGCTAACACCTTCGAATGCTTCTACATGAGATCAGATGCCCAATTTCATTTGAAGCGTTGAAAACTGTAGATGTCACTTACATCCCACTTTCCAATTCACGTGCAAGGCTCTAGGTCTACTCGAAGATGATCGGCATTGTTGTGGAATTGGCCGTGGTGGTAGTGCGCCCCTCACGATCGGAAGACCGTGGGTTCGATTCCTGCCCCGACCAGATATTTTTCTCGAGAGAATTTATCTGGTTGAAGCTGGGATGATTCTGCAACCGTGTTAGGAATCACACGTTAAAAGGTAAGACCTCGTTAGTCCTTAGCTCCCACAAGTTTCTCAACTTCCAAGAGTTGTCGTTCGTATGGGGGCGACAGTTGATTAACGGAAAAACAGATTTTTTAAAACATATTTGGATTCAGCTCTTGAATAGGCAGCACTTTGTCAAACACCACATATGATTCGAGAGCTTTTTGTTATCATTTTATTGTTCTGCCAGGTGTCCGACCCCCTACGTCTTTGGGAAAAATATAAAGAATACCTTTCTGAAGACTTTAAAAAACAACTGGAAAGGCAAGGTGACATGGATGTAGAGCACTCATCGGACCTGATATTTAACAAATACCTGTCGGTATTAGAGGATACCGTATTATCATTAGGCGGCCGTCCTCTTAAAGAGTATGGATTACCTCAGCCAATAACATCAATAGAGAGTACGTGAAGGAGACCAGTTACGATACAGTGGCCTTAGAAGACGCAGTAAGAAAAAATGAACCATCCTTGAATGACGAGCAACAGGAAGTTTACAATAAAATTATCACAAGTGTAGATGCAAATGACGGTCGAATATTCTTCTTAGACGCTCCAGGTGGAACTAGTAAAACCTTCCTTTGGTGGTCGAACTGCTCATGCTGCTTTTAAGTTACCACACAATTTAATCACTGCCGAGACTCCCATTTGCAACATCTCCAAACAAAGTAATTTTGTTGAAGTTTTAAAGAGTACAAAAGTAATCGTCTGGGACGAAAAAACGATGGCTCATAAAGGTGGTATTGAAGCCTTAAACAGATTACTAAGGGATATAAGGGGTACCAATACAAAATTAATGGGTGGCGTAACTCTTTTGCTGGCCGGAGACTTTCTGCAGACTCTACCAGTGGTGCCAAAAGGAACCAGAGCTGACGAAGTAAAGTCGTGCATTAAGAAATATAATTTGTGGCCCCAGGTTAATATTCTTAAGGATAAGTCTGCTGGTAAATTTTGAGATCTCCTTTTTAAAATCTGTAATGGTGATTTTCCATCGTTTGATGGAAAGATAACCATCCCGGAAGAATTGTGCACAGTTGCTACTACGGTTCAAGAATTGCTGTCTAAAGTTTATCCAGACAACATTCATATACATGACAAGCCTATTGAATGGTTATGTGAGCGTACCATACCTACTCCAAAGAACGATCAAGCAGCAACTATCAACGATATCCTGCTCATGTCGTTTGAGGACGAAGAAAAGGTCTATAATTCGATTGATACTGTGGTTAATACAGATGACGCTACTAATTACCCTGTAGAATTTTTAAATTCATTAAAACCGCTAGGTTTGCCTTGTCATAAACTAATTCTGCGTGTGGGCACTCCAACTATAATGTTGCGGAATTTAAAACCACCAAAACTTTGTAACGGTACGAGACTGCAAGTGAAAGCGTTACATCGCAATATAGTAGAAGCCACCATATTAACTGGGTGGGCGAAAGGGGAAACTGTATTTATACCACGAATCCCATTAATACCTAATGATATCCCGTTCGAATTTAAACGATTACAGTTTCCCCTAAAAGTCTGCTTTGCCATGACAATAAACAAGTGTCAGGGGCAAACTTTCAAATTTGTGGGTATTGACTTGAGAGAACATTGCTTCTCTCATGGACAGTTTTATGTTGCTTGCTCACGAGTAAGTTCACCCAATAGTTTGATAGTTTTAGCACCTAATGACAGATTAGTTAAGAATATTGTGTACAAAAAAGTTTTGTAGGCAATAATTTTGTACACATGCTAAACAAAAGTAAAGCCGCAAGCACTATACCTAATTAATAATAATACTTCTTAACGCGAGCGAAGCCACGGGCAAAAGCTAGTTTTATCCTATAAAAAGACAAATTTTCCCTGCCGATACTAATGAAACAAAATAAGTTTCGTTTTGAGATATTTATTCAAATCCAGCACAGCTTGAAGGACCCAGTGTCACTACATTTTATTTTTGTAATCTACGGAAATATGATGTGAAAGTTCAGTGATGTCAATAGTAATATATTATATTCTAACAACTTTTGTGTAGGGTGTGTTTTTTTTTGTTTAACCATCTTTCAAATTTTCACCGCCGACGCCACGCCATCCTCAATTCTGCCGCCCCTCATTATTTGCAAAATAGATCGGGCGCTGCTTTAACTGAAACATCCTGAATTCCATAGGAAGGGTGATGATAGGATGAAAGACTGGTAAATTGCTCCAGATAGAAGAGCCATAATCAAATAAGCAAGTCAAGTCAGAAGTCAGTTATGCTGTGAGGCTGTGACATTGTCAGCCTATAGTATGAGGTATAAAATAGTAAACATTTGTTTATTATTCTGTATATGAGGCTCAACAGAGAAACAAGAAGTTTAAACAGCCACAATAAAAAAAAGCTTTTGTATAAAGAAGTGAATCATGGAAAACAGACCCCAGAAAATGCCCAAGGTGGCGAAGGTACCAGTGTTATTTCTCTTAACTCTAATTTATTCACTTTTCCTTAAATTTATAGGTCAAAAATAAAGCCCCTGCAGAAATTCAAATCACTGCTGAACAATTGTTAAGAGAAGCTAAAGAGAGAGATTTGGAAATTCTCCCACCCCCACCAAAGCAGAAAATTTCTGATCCTGCTGAGCTTGCAGATTATCAGTTGCGAAGACGGAAACAGTTCGAAGACAACATAAGAAAAAATAGAACCAACATATCTAACTGGATGAAATATGCACGATGGGAGGAATCTCAGAAAGACATACAACGTGCAAGATCAGTTTGGGAGAGAGCCTTAGACGTGGATCATCAGAGAGTCCCAATATGGTTAAAATATACAGAAATGGAAATGAGAAATCGGCAGGTAATATTATATTAAAATCACTACATTCACAGGATATGAATAGGTATCTACACACAATATTTTCATACCCTAAACCTCTATAGCACTTTTTTGAAGCATTAGTAATATTCAAAGACTGAGGATTTCAACTAAGCAATTTATTGGAATGAAATTATTAGATTGTAGTGCTTGTGTTTGCCTTATCTTATTACACGATCACAATATCAATCAGAAAGATTAATATTGAATAGGTGTATATTAACTCAAATATGCAAATACATGTACTATTGCAAGGTCATGAAGATATTTCATTGAATTATTTGCCATTATTAGAAGCAGTGGTCCCTATATAAATCCCTAAGGATCAACTGATTTCATTGTCCCCAGTGATCATTCAATTGATTTCTGTGACGTCCTGCTGCTGGACGAACAAGAAATATCTGCAAGAACTTTCTCTGTTAGATATAACTTATAATAATAATAACAATAAAGGTCTTTTATCAATTTTCAGTTATATTTATACATGTTAACTAAAGAAGTAAATGGGCGAGATTCAGTATAAAAATCGGTATTAGTTGTGGAAGTATTTGTTTGTAGTTTCCACACTGGTCATACTTGACTTGAAATATACATTTACCTGTACTCAAAACCACCCCATAAGTTGTTGCACTGATCCTTTTCTATATGCAGTTGAGAAGCTTTCTTAACTTTCTTTCATCCATTATCTCTTGATGTTATTTTTTTGTGGAATGAATTTTAAAAGTGTTTTTTTCTAATGGAAGATAATTGCAGCATTATTATAACAATAGTTTCTAGAGCCTCTAAAAAATAGTGGCTTGGATTGCATATTCTATTTTAGAATATACTTTAACACAAAAATGTTTTTGAAGCATCAGTGAAATTCTCTGAGGTTAGCAAAACAAGCCTAGTTCACAGTTTCAAATTTATGATAGTAAAAAAAATTATATTCAATATGTTAATTAGCTGTTTTTTAGGTAAACCATGCAAGAAATTTGTGGGATCGAGCTGTTACGATATTACCTAGGATTGATACTTTTTGGTACAAATACACTTATATGGAGGAAATGTTGGAAAATGTACCTGGAGCCCGTGCTGTCTTTGAACGATGGATGGAGTGGCAGCCTGATGAGCAGGCATGGCAAACTTACATCAATTTTGAACTTCGGTATAAAGAAATTGATAGAGCCAGACAAATATATGAAAGGTATTCGGTTCATTATTACTTTTGAAAATTATTCTATCTAAAATTATATTGTAGGTTTGTTATGACTCACCCAGAAGTTAAACACTGGATTAAGTATGCAAAATTTGAGGAAAAACATGGTTTCATTCATTCTGCTCGCAAAATCTTTGAACGTGCTGTTAATTTTTTTGGTGACGATCATTTGGACGAAAATTTGTACATTGCTTTTGCTAAATTCGAAGAAAATCAGAAAGAGCATGAAAGAGCAAGGGTAATCTACAAATATGCGCTTGATCACATACCCAAAGACCAGACTAAAGAACTCTATAAGTCATACACAATACATGAAAAAAAATATGGAGACAAAAGTGACATAGATGAGGTGATTGAATCGAAGCGAAAATTTCAGTACGAACAGGAAATTTTGCAAAATCCAACTAATTACGATGCTTGGTTTGATTATATTAGGTTAGTAGAAGGTGAAGGAGACTTAGAATTTATCAGAGAGACGTATGAAAGAGCCATTGCCAACATACCTCCTTCAAATCAAAAGCAATTTTGGAGAAGATATATATATCTTTGGATAAACTATGCCTTGTTTGAAGAATTAGAAGCCAAGGACTATGACCGTACCAGGCAAGTGTATAAGGCGTGTTTAGAGTTACTGCCCCACAAGGTTTTCACTTTCTCAAAAATATGGTTGCTTTTTGCAAAGTTTGAAATTAGACAAAAAAATTTAACTCCTGCCAGAAAAATTCTTGGAATGGCTTTGGGAATGTGTCCGAGGGATAAGCTGTTTCGCGGATACATAGATCTGGAGTTACAACTCAGAGAATTTGACAGATGTCGAACCCTTTATGAAAAATTTTTGGAATTTGGACCAGAGAATTGTGTGACCTGGATGAAATTTGCCGAACTAGAAACTTTATTAGGCGACATTGATCGAGCAAGGGCTATTTACGAATTGGCTATAAGTCAGCCTAGGTTGGATATGCCAGAGTTACTTTGGAAGGCTTATATAGACTTTGAAATTTCTCAGGAAGAACCTGAAAATGCTAGACAAATCTATGAAAGGCTGCTAGAAAAAACATCACATGTCAAAGTATGGTTGTCTTATGCCAAATTTGAACTTAACACACAATCAGAACCCGACATGAATGTTCTGTTATCCAGGAGAGTATTTGAAAGAGCCAACGAGAGCCTAAAAAATTCATCTGAAAAAGAGGCAAGAGTTCTACTTCTTGAAAACTGGAGGGAGTTTGAGAAAGCCCATGGAGATGAAACTGATAATGCTAAAGTTAATAGCAAGATGCCCAAACGTATAAAAAAGAGACAAAAAATTATTGATGAAGATGGCATTGAACAGGGATGGGAAGAAATTTTTGATTACATTTTTCCTGAAGATGAGGCTAACAGACCTGGTTTAAAATTCGTGGCATTGGTTAAAAATTGGAAAACAAAGTCAGCTCAAGAGTCAGAGGCACAGGCTGAGGAAGAAACAAGTAGACCTGGAGCTCTGAATGCAAGTTCTGCTGCTAAAGTCGATAGCAGCGATAGAGTAAGGGAAAAATTGCTGGGTCTGTCAAACAAATGGAAAAAAATCAGTAGCAGTCATGTGAATGATTCAGAAAATGAGACAAATGTTGTGTCAGAACAAAAAAAGGATTTTGAGTCCGTAAATAAGGAAGAAAATACAAAAAGTAAAAGAGAATCAGATTCTGAAAATGATGGCAACAGTTAGCAATCTCGAAGTTCATGAAAAAATAAAATCTAGAACATGGTACAGAACCTTATTGAATATTTATGTACAGTTACCCCTTTAAAAAAATCAACATCATATATGTTACTAGAAACAATAGTGTATCAATGTGGTTAAATTGAAAACTGCTAATGTGAATGTAAACATAAGTTTAAATAAATTATTTAATTTTGAGTATTCCTTAGGTTATCTATAAGTATTCCACGATGCTAGACTGTGGTATTGATCTTGACTTTGAAATTGAAATGCTTTAAATATATGATCAAACCTTGGCTTTGTTTAAGTGTTATGGACAATTTTAACATTGACAAAAATTTCCTGTTGTGGTTAAATTGAAAACTGCTGATGTGAATGTAAACATAAGTTTAAATAAATTATTTAATTTTGAGTATTCCTTAGGTTATCTATAAGTATTCCACGATGCTAGACTGTGGTATTGACTGGTCAATCAGCTCTTAGCTTTCAACTCAATAAATATGTTATGTTGTATAATAGTATGTTTTTAGATGTCAATTTATGACAAAACAAAATAAATCCTTTAATTTTCAACTGTTGGTGCTGTAAATTGAATTATTAAATAGAAACTAGTGGAAATGGAGATATAAAGACATCCCATGACTTCGAAATAAAAGAGAGGATAGTTTTTATTTATTCCTTCCTTCTTAATAAAGCCAACATTTAGTGAAAAAGCCAAGAGTCCCAGAAAAAAGCAAAGATTATTTAAAATGTGTTTGAGTTGAAAAAGATGTAGTGAGTACCCATTCAAATTGTTTTTATCGACCTTTTTTGGGTATTTTCATCTTCCACAATTTAAAAAAATATAAAATGGTAATAGGGAACTTTGTACAAATGTTTCAATTGAAATGAAATGAAATGAATTATGTATAAATTCAGACTGGGTACAGTGCAATTATATAGTACAATATTTGTAAACAATAAATTTCCATTTCGAGTGGGGCGACATTACCTAAGCATGTGATATGCTTGTGCTGCTTTGTCAACCCACCTCAAAGTGGACTACACACTAGTTATAATTCGCCGAGCGAGAAATTAATAGTGATATAACTTATAATAATAATAACAATAAAGGTCTTTTATCAATTTTCAGTTATATTTATACATGTGAACTAAAGAAGTAAATGGGCGAGATTCAGTATAA